ACAACGCGATTATGGTCGTCGTCGACACCCTTGGGAAGTGTGCTCACTTCTCGGAGTGCCACACCACGGTCGACACAGTAGGAGCCGCCCGCCTCTACTACCGGAATGTCTGGCGGCACCACGGGACTCCGGAAAAGTACGTCTCCGACCGCGGCTTGCAGTTCATCGCGGACTTTACCTGAGAACTTTGGCGTCTAATCGGCATCAAACCTGCCACGTCTACCGCGTATCACCCACTGACGGATGGCCAGATGGAGCGCGTCAACCAGGAGTTAGAGCAGTACCTGCGGATCTTCACCAACTATCAGCAGGACGACTGGGACGAGCTGATTCCGGCCGCGGAGTTCGCCTACAACAACCATGTTCACTCCTCCACGCAACAAGTCCCCTTCATGACGGACACGGGATGACTCCCACGCATGGGCTTCGAACCCGGAGTCCATTCCGCCATGGAGTCAGTGAACGAGTTCCGCGACCGGATTGCCACTGGTGTTGCCAAAGCGAAGGCCGCGCTCACTAAGGCCAAAGAGGGGTACAAGTGCTACTACGACCGGAGACGCACTCCGTCTCCGGAGTTTAAGGTTGGCGACCGTGTTTAGCTGGATGCCTCTGACATCAGGACGACCCGCCCCTCGGAGAACTTCTCCCACCGCCGCCTCGGACCGTTCAAGATAGTTGCGGAGATCAGCAAAGGCGCCTACAAGCTCGACCTCCCTCCGTGCTACTCAAAGCTCCACCCGGTCTTCCCCGTCGTCAAGCTTGAGCTCGCTCAGGACGACCCCTTCAACGGATGCTCCGGCTACGACCAGCCCCATCCAGACCTTGAGGACGGAGTCCCGGAGTGGGAAGTAGAGGAAATCTTGGACGCAAGGGTGAGGTATAAACAGCTGAATTCCTTCGTCAGATGGAAAGGCTACGATGCGTCGCCTGACCAGTAGGTCCGCTTCGACCGCGTCTTCACCCTGGAGAAAATTGCGGAGTTCTATCGTAAGTACCCTGGCAAGCCACGGTACATCGCCTCTGCAACCTTCGACTCGATTCCATTCCGGTCTATGCGTCGGGACGCCGCATTCAAAGGGGGTGATGTCAGGGGAACCTCCCTTTCGGCCCCTCGGAGACGATTCTGATTCCGGTTCCGACTCCGGTCTGGCCCTCCATCTCGTGCGCGCGCACAATCGCCCGATCCGTCAATGCCCTCCCAACGGTCGCCCTGGGACCTTGCCTGCGACACTGCCCAGGCCTTCTGTGCCCGACAGCAGCAGCTACGGACAAGCAGTATATAGTCAGCTCCCTAGCAGGCAGACCCTTAGAGTTTCTTCTCTTTGGATCCTCCCCTGCTAGGTCAGCTTCATTTGTATTTGCTTACCAATGTTCACGCTTTGGATCCTCCCCTGCTAGGACCTTGATCTCAGGCCTCCGGGGTTACCCTTACCAAGGGTACCGCACAAAAAAAATTTGAGACATCAGGTCGAAAAAGTGAACTAAGCATCGGCAGACCCTCCCTACCCTATTTACATAAGCATAACTAAGCCATATGACTTTCTAAAAAGGAAATTATTTATCATCATAAAATTCAGTTGAATTGAGACACATTTTACAAATTAACACTCAGTATTTTGCTTTTTGCAACTGTGCCCATTGACATTCATGCAGCATTGTGCATAGCAGAACCAATTTGGGCTCGGTGCCTCTGAGAGACCCGCACAGCAGAGATGATACTGCACTAGAGTCAGCCATTTGCCAGGGCCATTTGTGGCATGTCACGCAACATGGGAGGAGAAGAAGACGAAGTGATGACGTGCTTACATGACTACAAGATATCCTTCACACTGTCAGCAATCCGTGAGATCTTTGAAGATTCTCTGGCGCCAGAAATATCCTGAGATATTTTCAGGGCGCCAGTTCTCTTTGACAGAATCTTTGAAGATTTCCCAATTGTTAGCATGTGAAGGATATCCTGAAATCTTTTAGATCTTTTCAGGAGCAATCCAAAGGTATCTTCGAGGCAACGACTTGGAACAATAAGGTCCGCTTCTTTTTGGTATTGATATTTAAGCTAAGTACAGTGTGTCGTGATAAATAGTCTAAGGCTTGCATGGGTGTTCGGCCTTAAGTCTGGGAGAAGGGAGTCGGAAGGGAGCGGAAAAACGATAACTTAGATGAGGCGCCATTGACAAGATCTGGAATCTGGATCTAGTTTGTTCCTTGTAATTACGCAACGTTAATTACGCAACGTTACGCGACTGTTGTTAGAAAATTTGACGTTATGCGTGATGATTGTGATGAAACGGGCGTTGATGCTTAGAGTTGGGGTGTCTGCCTGGTGACCCACCCTACCCTATGTGACATGTGTGACCCGATGTCACCAGTTGATGATCTACGGTACCCTTGACCCTTACACTTTGGCGCAGTCTCGGAGAGTCTCTGACTCTCTGAGTTAGCTGTACCACTTTCGAACGTAAATCCTTCCGTCTGTCTACATGTCGGACCACACAGTCGACAACAACGAGACAGGATAATTGCTCTTGGGCTCTGTGGGCTCTGGGGCAACACCTGAGCGCCGAACTCCGACTCCTCCGAGTCCATGCCACCTTTGTGCTCTAGCAGCAGTCAGTGGCCAACCGGACCCAGACGAAGAGTATGACGCTACGTAGGTACGTATGTCTTGAAGGCCTGACTCCTCATTCTTGACACTTGTCGGAGCTGGGCTCCGATGTCCTTGCCACGACTCGGACCCAACTGGCAGCATCGCATTGTTGGTTCACAAACTGACTTTAGTTTGTGCTAATACACCTCTGAGAATGGCGGTGATTGTCACCACCACCGCATCAGTGCATGCCGTGTCACATTTTCCCATGTCAACAGGTGCATTCGGACCGACTCTCCAGCTTGTCCAGGCCCTGAAATTTTAAGTCTGAATCCTGCAAAAAATATTGTTTCTGAGAATAAATTAAGCAGTAATAATAGCACTGTTGCTGCAGACTTGCTCATAGACCTAAAGCTACATTTACTCTGAGATGATATCTTATTAATGATAAACTCCATGATTTAATGCTTTAAAATAAAATAATATCCCTCTTGAATAAAATAAGATCTCCATGAGCCCCATTTTAGGGTAGTTTCAGATCTGAGCACATTGAGGTCCAATTGCTACTTGTTTGCAATCAGTGTAAGTATTATAATTATAATTATAAGTATTTCAAGTCACTCTTACTGATTGAGCTTCAATAGTCACTGGTCACCATGTATTTAAGGCTCAATATTCAACTGATGTTACAGTATTTCTAGTCAGTTTGTGCTACGCCGCTTGTCGGCCCACCTTAAATCATGTAAAATAGGGGAGATGGTGGTTCAAGTCCGTGTGTGTAGTGTCACAGGGATCGTCACACTTTAGAAACTTGCTATGAACGTTGAAACGCTGACGAGTTCGGCCGCTAGTTCGGCCGCTGAAATTGCCGGACTTGCAACGAAGGTGAAATATTGACCTCGATCATGTAATTTGCTAGCCACTGACAGCGTCAAAACAGTTGGCTCAAGACCTCGAAAAACAAGACAAGGAGCGGCGGCGGCTGCATGCAACCACTTTAACGTTCACGCCATCGCTCAGATATGAGTTGCACCCCAATCCACTCCACATCCCGACTCTTCTCCCCGCGTATTTCTTACGCGTATGTTACACGTCCAGGCCTCCGACTGAGCCTAGTATCACATACGAGTCAATGGTTGACCGGCTTGCCGCGGCCTTTCTGAGCCATTATTTCCCAATGTCACATCAGTTCCTAATTCAGCCTCAACACACCTATCGGGCTGAAGTGTCCGAGGATGCAATGAATATTCAGGCCGAGTGGTCGATGTTGGGAGAGCATGGAAGTCAATATATTTATCAAGAAGAATTGGTCAGTCTTGTCTCCTCCAGTCCTACAGAGACTCAATTGAACATACTGTATACAGGACTTTCCTATTTTGCCTGACAGTCCAGCTCAGTCGAGCCCACCACGCGGTTTCGGTCTGCCATCAAGTCAAATCAAAGATGCTCGTCTGGACAAGACCTATCGTTTGGTTGATTCAACCCCTTCGGGTCTGCAAAGACCAGATATCTCCGTCATTTTCCAAGGACTCTTCGAGGAAACTAACCCACGCATTCCTGAGAGGTATCCTGGACTCTCAGCATTCGATGTAGCAAACATTGCCGTTGAGGTGCCGGTTGTTATGGGGGAAAGCAAACTACGAAACCAAGATTTGGCCATTGAACAACTGACACGTTATGCGCAGACGTTTGGTAAACAAGACTCGCCTAAAATGCGGTTTTTGTGCTTTTCGTGCTTCGTGATAGGGGCTTGGAAATTGCCCTTTTCCGCTACAAATCGGAAAGCAAGATGCTGGACCCAATTTTGCTGAACAATAGGACTTGGTGCCCAGTATATCACAAAGCAGTCCATGAAGAAATGTGCAGCTTTGTCCGAGAAGTCCAGTTGACGTGGCAGGACTATGGTTTGTGTTGGGCTTACGAGGCAGAATCTTGAAAATAGCACGGATATGTGTATAATGCATGAATACTTTTATCTCAATGTTAACATGCCTGCCGAGAAAAAAGACAGGGATAAGCGGTACTTGTGGTCGTTAGAGATCAATCTCTGGAATATGACCCGCGGCGAGCGGCAGCCCATGGCAGCGGGGGCTGGAAAACCCTGGACGACGCGGCTGGTGCTGCAACTAAGTGCAAAAGAAGATGCACATGAAAAAATTGAAAAAAAAAAAGGGGGGAAGGCTAGTCCACGCAGCGGGTCTCGCGTCGAGCGGCTGCTCTTGGCAGGGTGGGTCCAGGGTTTTCCAGAGAAATTTAAATTTACACTGTCACACATTTTTTGTGCCGCAAATGTCGCGTTTGATGCAACCTTGATTCAAGCAGAAAAAAATTCGAGGGGCCGTGTCACATTATCCTATGTACCATACCGAATAGGAAGGAGACTTCAAGGAGTACACGATAAGCGATGCAGTCTTCATTGCGATTCTAGCTCTCGCGCCATGACAGAGTCTTGAATGCTGTCGATATATTTTGTCGGCTTGAGCATATTCTTGACGATGAAGCGACCATCTAATTCTGCAGCGGTTAGCAAACACAATACTCACTGGGCAAATCGTTTCCTTCTGCCCTTTGTTTTGCTTCTGTTGCATCCCGACACACCCCAGTTTCGACATGGCGCTTCACAAGTCCCCGACACGCTTCTGCCTCATCAACACGGAGAAACCAGCGTTCGTCCAACACATCGGGAGCCTCAACCCATGGGTCAATGGAGAGGTAGGTGTGGAGGCCCTCGATAATGACAAGTCGATGATGTGCTTCGACACGAGAATGGCATCGAACCTGAGAAAGTCGGGGCTTTTATGACAACTTCTGAGGTGAAAAGCTGTCGCAGGCCTTGACGAATCGACATATCCAGCGGCATCAAATGTCCAATGAGCGCCGCGCCGTTCATGGGCTGATGTCGGTAACGGTCCCCAGTCAAACGTGGCGGCGATGGTGTCGCAGGCGAATGGCCAGGGCTCCGGGAAATCAAAGCCCATCATAGGCGTGACTGGGTCAAGTCCAAATTGGATCGGGAAACCTCGTTGTGGTGTTTGGAAACTGAGTGGCGGTGGGGTTGCGGATGCAGCTTGCGTGTTGAGGAGTGGTTGTTTCCTGATGCCCAACAATGCTCGTTTCAATTTGTGAGCCGAGCGTTCCGCATTGAGGGCAGCAGCAGTCGGTATTGCGACATCGGGCATGACATTCAGCGGTCGTTGCCGACCAACAGGATCCGGTAATCTCTTGTCGCGGCCACTGGAACCATTGGTGTGTGGATTGGCCAGGTTGAGCTTGTTAATTCGGGTATGTAGTTTCTCTACGTCATGTGATTGCTTGTCGAGAGCCATATCCATGTTTCGGAATGTGCGATTCAAAGTGTCCAAGGTCGGAGCACTTTAGAAGTTCAATGTACAAACAAGTCAGAAAATTATAGTACACACCGTAGCCCAGGCTTTCCGCTATCAGCCCTGCTCAGTCGTTTCTTGTGCTCGTGCAAATGTGATTCGAGCTTTTGAACCCGATCTTGGACAGCCTGACAATGCATCACTAAGGCTTTTACGGACCTAAAGAAGCAACTAACCCGCACAGTTCTCCGCAAATGAGTCTGGGTTTCGAGATGTTCGGGTCCCAAAGAGCGTGCTTTTAACATTTTGGCAAAGTCCTTGTCATGCTGGGCTTTCAGGAACCTCCCAACCTCCTCTCGTCATGTCCCCGCTGCGATATAGATCAGAAGACTAGATACATTTTTCATAGGTCACATACCTTTCAACAGGTTGTTTTCCAAATCTCGAATGCGTTTCTCCCATTGAGCCTTCGTCTGGAGACGAAGTGACCATTTAGACTGTTCACCTGTATCAGAAGGTCGTGCTGACCAACTCAACTCGCTTCTGACTTGCGGTCTGCGCAAGTATTTTGAACTGTAAAAAATGAGCAGATTAACCAGCACAGTTAAGACCACTTACATCCTCGAGTCCTCTAGCCATTGCCGCGAACAGCAATGCACATTCCTTCTGCATTCCTTCCTCCATTGTCGAAAGCTCAGCTCGAGATGGAACGACTGTTGGTGGCGGTGGTACTGAAATGAAGGGCATAGACGGAGTTCCCTTAATTGGTGTTGATATTGCCGATGGTTCGGGAGTTTTTGCAATCGGCCTACGAAGAAACTACTGGGGCCGGTTGGTGATGGACTTGGAGTAGATAGTATTGGGCTACTGAGTTCGGGGAAGGTAGGAAGCGGCAGACCTTCTGAAGGGGATTTTGTGGTTTCCCGCAATGTTGGAGCTGGGGTTGAGGCAAAGGATAAGGCTGAAGGTGGAGGTGGAGGTGTCTTTGGGCGTGAAGGCTTGGGCGTTGTATCCGGTGTCTTGGCTGTGGAGGAAGAACACCGAACGGTAGTTTAGGAGAAGCGGGCCGCGTCTTAGGAGTCAGTTTTTCGGCTTCATCCCTGGACATAGGTGCAGCGGCGAGAGGTGAACTCTTGGTAGGTCTTGTGACCTACCCAAACCAATTCCAAGAGACGGTGTGATAGGAACTGGTGCAGCAAGTGGGGCAGATGGTGGTGTTGGTTTCTTTTCGGGACTTCCTGGCGGCGTTTCTGGCGGCGTTTCGCTTTCTTCTCGGATAGTAGAGAGACGAGATTCTTCTGAAGAATCTGATTCATCACCGTCCGACTGCGTCGATGATGAAGGATGTGGCTTGAGCGCGTCAGCGTTGGGAGTCGACGAAGGGGAGCGGGAAGGCGGTAATGGCACAGTAGTTGGTGAAGGCGATCGCGAATAAGCATCATCATCATCTTCCGAAGCCAAAGCTCTCCGACAAAAAGCCATCATCATCCGGTGGCTCGTCTTGACTATCTTCTGCACCATCCACGCCGTCCGCTTCTGCTTCCAACAAAGAAGCCCCCTTCTGAGCCCAGTGACAATGAACCAAATGACGATCGTGGTTGGACAGTCGTGGCTGGAGCTGTAATCTGGATGAGTACAGAGGACAAGTCAGCTACTGAGATCTTACAGGGCGAGTCAATGCTCTGTTCGTCGGCGGCTTTTAGCAGATTGAAAACGTGTTCCGGCCGGAGTAAAATTACCACCCGATGGCGCAAATGCGCTGAATGCACTGACAGAAGAGGATGACGACGCTGATATTGGTCCAAAAGCGGATTTCGGAGTACCCAACGCAGATGTGGCTCCGAAAGCCAGCTTTTCAGAGACTGGCGTCAAAGGATTAGACGTCGAACGCAGATACCACAGGAGAAGCCGGTTGATAGAAAGGCGACGACGCTGGCATGCTATTACCAAAAGCGCCGAAGCCTTCGGCAGGTTTGAATCCCGTGGTTGCGGTTTTCAAGTTACTGAATGCCCCAGTAGTTGGCGGCGAAGGGGTGCTATTGGTAAATTTCAACGGCGAAGGACTATCATTAGTTGAAGCTGGGGTTGGTGACGGCGAAGATGGTCCGGAGACTGAACTAGTACTGGTCGTCCATGTAGAAAATGCGGAGGCTAGGGTCGAAGGGGTGGAGGCTTTACCAAACACACTTGTGGTTGGCGTCCCACCAAAGGCAAATTGAGCTGGAGAGGGAGACAAGTGGGACAAATACGCTTGTGGTTGGCGCCAAAGGCACTGTTTACTGACGCAGGAGCACCAAAGCCAGATTGGGCTGGAGAGGGGAATGGCGCGACATTTGGAGACGGCGAAGATGGTGTCGGAGTAGACGTGAAACCAGATGTGCCCGTCACAGCAAAAGCACCAAACCCACCAGAGGCAGGTGCCCCAAGAGTTGAGGCCGGTTTAGAGCCAAAACTCGTTTGTTCGAAGGCGGGCTGTCCAAAGGCGGGTTGCCCAAAGGCGGGTTGTCCAAAAGCAGGTTGTCCAAAAGCAGGTTGTCCAAAGCCAGATTTGCCAAATGAGGATGATGCTGGCATTGAATCTTTTGTGGTCGTATTCCCGCCAAAAGCACCCCCAGTGCATGCATTCGAGGACGGAAGTTGTGGATTGCTGAAGGCACCGGTGGATGCGCCACCGAATGCACCAAACCCGGCGGCAGGCTTGACCAAACTCGGATCTGAGAATTTTGAAGGGGCTGGATTTGCTGGTTGGTTGGCTGGATGATTTGAGAGCAGTGGAAGGGGACTGGGCGAAGAATTAAAACCTCCGAATAAACCTCCCGTGGTGGATTTTGGTTTGCTGTCTGAGCTCGATGCGCCCAGGGACAAACCACCAAAAGAAGGGCCCGTATTATCTCCCATCGAAATTGAGGGGGTGGCGGACATGGGTGGCGCTACAGGTTGCGAAGCAACGGTGCTTGAGGAGGAGCTTCCTCCGAAAGGCGACGGATTGCTGGGGAAAACCGGTGCGGAATTCTGTCCAAATGGCGAGGCATGAGCGGAACTTTGCCCGAAAGATGACTGCCCCAAGACAGATGTTGTTTGTGAGAAGGGACTCGGCGCCGCGGGTTGAGGAGGTTGAATCAGTCCATTGTATGGCTTAGAGTCGGGATGGGTGATATACCATGCCTGGACTGTGCCATCATTGAGATATGCCAACATGATGGGCATTTCATCGGTCGAGTCCGACTCGAGGCATAGAAGGTAAGTATCTTCGTCGTTCTTGTCCAGGGGCACTGTGAGCGGATTTTCCTGCGACTGTTGGAACCACGCAGACCCCGCAGAGCCGTGAACTTCAAGATCGGTCGACGAATTATCGCCAACTACCATCAGTGTAGTCTCGGGACCACCAGAAGCCTCAAAATCCCAACGGGGTATAAAATTAAGACTCGGGAGTTGGGAGTTCGTTCAGGCGAGGGGAATGGGTGAGCGAGTTGCACGACAGTTGTGATGTTTGACTGGTGGTTTAAGGATACGATGTGATGGGCAGGCTGGTTGGAAAAATAGCTAGTGCGAAATGTGAATGCGGGACCAAGCCAATCGAGAGAAACAAGAGGCGGGCTGGCTGTAGGGGGGGATGTGTTGGAGGGGCGCCGCGTTATTGAATCCAAATGTAAGAATATCGCCGGATCGCAAGCCAACTGCGAGTTGTTTCCCCTTTGGAGACCAAGATGCTGATGGTCATGAGAATTTGACGAAGGTAACAAAAAAGCACATAGAACATACCAGCGACAGGTAAGTTATCAGCATCTGTTGCGCGCCATGCTCCCTTAGTTTGCATTTGGGCATCCAACATTTCGACTGTGCCGTCCATCCTTACAATAGCCACGAGTTGAGCAAGATCTCCGTCATTGCAGGGATTGGGTAATATCTGTAAAGGTAGACCCGAGGAAGCCTGATACACTTGAAGTGGGCTTGATGGTGTAGAGGACAAGAACAAAGCCCCAGTGTCATAGATGACAACCTGGCCGTCTTTTAGTCGGGCCAGAAAGCGCGTAGCATTACAAGCAAAAGCGGTTGCGACGGGATTACAGGGCAAAATGATATCGGGTTGGAAAATTCCATCGCCACCTGTCTTGAATGCTTCCTTCAGCTTTTTCAATGGAGAGACGATAAGACCTGGAAAGAAGAATTGGAATTGGAATTAAAACGACGAGATTTTGTCCACAGACCATTGGAGGTTGAGGCTGCGAACCAGCCTCCATTCGCGTGGGTAGTTGCAAAGGTCCTCTCGAGGGAGCCAAGGGCTCGGGAGAAAGAGTGACACGAGACTGTTTATTGAGAAGGCGGAAGGTGGGGGACTGGGCAAGTTTCAAATGAAGCGAGGGACTGGGAGGATATTGTGCCACGCACGGTAAAGCCATCTGCTTGCGGTAGAGTGAAATTTGGATCTACTTTGACTGGCGACTGGTCTGGGGGACGCAATGGTGCGAAAGCCATGGTCAAGCACAAAGTCGCGTGAGTCAGGCGAATTGACTTTTGATTGACGCGTTTCCATTGGCTACTGATGACAAAAAGTGACATCGAAGGAGAAGAGAGAAGAAAAATAATTCAAGAATTCACCACACACACAGCTTTACACGATGGACCTAGACCAGCTCACAACTAATGCTCAAAAATACGGCGACGCGACGACGCCTTGTTGTCATCCACCAATTGTACACCGACAGCCTGCGATTTATCCCAAACTTCCTGGCTAACACGGTTCACCTCCTCACCTCCACCCGTCAAGCTGATATAAAACATCAGTTTGAGCCTTAGAACAGAGTAAGACATACAATGCTGATCACTAGGCACGAAGAACTCCAAAAGCTGATACTTGTGCACAAGGTCATTAACGTAGGCGCCCAAGAAGTGTATCATGCCCATGTTAGGCGGATATGGAATCGTTTTGAGCGGATACGTGCGGCCGTCGGGTGCATATTTGCCATAATGTTCTTGCCACGCGTCCAACTGCTTTTGTGGAATGTCGGCCAATTGGCTTTGGGGCGGGTATGCCGGTGCTGGGGAGGACCCAGGGATAGAAATGGAGTGCCATCACATACCCGGGGCGAGAACCGTCGATGGTGATGGGGAGGGCCTCGAAGGAGTGTTCGTCGAGGTCAAATTGGAATGCCCGTTCGACGTGGGAGAGATAGCCTTTGATATACTCGGGAGATAGCGCGCGTTTGCCGAGCTCGACCATTTCATCCCGCTCCATGACAAATCCAACAGCGAAGAGACGAACGTCGCGTCGAAGTTTATACCTCCTACTAGCGGGTTGTGCCTCTTGTGCTGATGTTTCGTTTTCGGTTGGGAATGACATGATGGTTATGAACAAGAAGGATGCAGGCACGTGCAAGTCTTTCCTAATACGTCCATCAAAGTCACCAAAGTCGAAATGGAATGTAAATTGTACAGGACTGACCTTGCTACGGTGTGGTACTTGCTTGTCTTCTGCTGCCCATTATTTATACACATGGTTAGGTCGCGGAGGTGATAGTATGTTGTGCCTCCTCCTTCAATGCATGGCTTACATAGACGGAATATAGCTCAAGAAGCAAAACCTTGATCCTTCGAAGAAACGAGATTAGTCGCATTCTTGTCCTCGTATTATCAACCAACACAGATAATCTACTTTATGCGTACGTACTTAGATTACCATACTATCTATCACTACTGTACCTCCATATATATATGTTATCGGCTTTGGGAACACGGCCAAACTGAGCGCGACTTTGTTTGTCTTGTTACCATGCATGGCCTAGTTGTGTATTCGTAACTAAGCGCACAGGAAGATAACCCATCCTTATCCCAATTTCACCTTGACTTCGACTTTTCAATTCTATACCCTAGCTACTTACAAGCGACACTACATAATAAGGAAAGCCAAATGCCCGCCGACAACTGGACGGGCACGGAAGCCAACCTGGTTCCCACTGACAGTGTCATACCAGTCGGAGAACGGCCCTACAGATGGCGTCAGTCTCATCGTCCAAGTTCAGCATCAAGGGCTTGCCCACCATCAAATTTGCCGTCCGAGACGAAGCTTTTGACCGCACCAATGAGGGTGTCGCGCAGTGCAGTGCTAGTGACCCAAGTCGCCGTCCAGATTTCCCAATCAGTCTTCGTATAGGTGTGGCGCGTATCGAGCTGGACACCAAAAGCATCTGCAAAGACCAGTCAGAGTTATCGAGCACGATAAGTTTGCGATTTACTGGTATGAGAAGTGTACCACGCAGTTTCTGTTTATGGTATAAGTAAGACGGAAACAAGAGGACTGAATGTAACCGTACGCATGTCGTAGACGGATTGAGGGAAGAGGTTCAACTTGAGGAGTTTGTCAGCGAAGAGGTTGTATGTGAGGCCCCAACTGCATCGAGTAAGAAATAGCAACTCCAACCTCGAAGTGACATACGTATTGTCTTGTCCGTAAGCAAGCGTCAGATGGTCTCCACTAGCTGCGGTGGCAAGTTTCTGCCACTGGGGAACGTAAGAGGCAGCAATGGACGAGTAGTTGGCGCTTTGGGCGTTGTTCTTGAGCAGTTTATGGATCTCTCCCATGGCACCAATCCCAATGATTCCTGAGTAAACCCAGATTTGAGTCCGTCGCGTAGATATTTTGGGAAGCGACTACCTTTGATGGCCAAGTTAGTCTGATTGGCAAGCGGGCCAGCGAAGTCATCGGTGCTGATTTGGTTGGCAGGAATAAGACTGTCGCTGACCAAGAACTGAGCAAATTGGTCGAATAAGGCTAGATCCAACGTTTGTTAACGTTCAACTGTTGCGGCTGTTCTCACCAATCTGCAAGTTTGATGGCGCTCAGACCATATCCCCCATAGGAAGAGGAATAGACGTACGTATTTTTTGATATGAGAGAGATCTCCGGTTTTTTGGGCATAGCTCAGCGCCATAATGATCATGTTGCCACTTTCTGGAGACAAATTCAGTCTCGACAAAGGGAGGGCGAAATGGAATCGAAAAACCTTCTACTGGCATTGCTTCATCTCCACCGTCGTTATGGCCGATAGCTTTGGGGAAGTTTCCGCCAATGTCGTGGATGCTCCATTTGTTCCTATGATAGCTGTGAGTACGTAGACCGGAACAAGCAATCAGTCGTACGGGTACTGGCCGGTCGCCTGATAACGCAAAACACCTTCAAGCAAATATTTTCCAAGCGCGGGATTGACGTAGAGCAAAACTGGCCAGGCAGGGAAGATAACGTCGACGGTGTTCATGTTCTGGATTTAAGTCAGCAGCATACAAGGGCTGAATTGTCAATGTATGAGTACCCCGTTGCTGGAAATTTCTTTCATGAATACAATGACATCGTTCGGGTCGTAAGTTCCGAAGGCAGTCTTGGAGGTTGTGATCTCGATGGTAGCAAGAGCTTGACGGATAGAAAGGGCGACGACACCAGCATAGTCGGCAGAGATCTTAGATGCGTCGGCCTGAACTTTGGCATCGAAGGCATTGGCACGGGTGAGCGCGGCGGAGAAATCGTTGACGAATGAGGTCAACTGAGATGATCGGTGAGGAATGCTCAAAGGAATCAAAATAGCACTCACGGCGGCGGCAACGGTCGGGAACTTCGTGAAGAAGTACGGAGAACGGTCTTGATAAGATCCACCGGCGACGATGTACTGGATAGAAGGATTACGGACATGTCCAATTGTGAACAGTTTAGGCTTTGTCGCGGTGGAAGAGACGGAACCGAGGTCATGAGCATGCGCAAACACAGGCCAGGAATTGCTTCAGACAATGCGTCAGCATGGGTGTAAATACGCTGAATTATGGGTGGACAACACAACATACTAAATTTGGCGGAAAGTCTTATCGAGGGCATTGGTAAGCTTTCCGTTCTTGAGGAATTCTTCGCGAACTTGACGATCAGGGCCGGTTTGTGTTGTCGTGCCCGCAGACTAGACACATGAGATATATTGCTGGAACTCGAGATGAATGAATTACGTTCACTGTGGACCAGTAGATGGAACCGTCTGTTAAAATGGTTAGTTGCATGCGATTGCGGGTGGGAACAATTACACTGGGTGACATCGTTGATCTCTTCGTATTGAGCTTGGGCTGCTGTTTGCACTCGGTGTGTAAGGATATCACCCTTGGTGGTCTCCCAGTTGATTGTCCAAGTGTTCGCGCCAGAGTTCCATTCACCACTGATGTCGCAATAGATAGAAACCTTGTGGGATGCGCCATCTGTTGAGGCAGCGACAACGGAGACGTAAGAGAAGGGGAAAGATTGTTTGACCAGGTCATTAGGCTATGTGGGAAATGAGATAGGTCCTAATGCGAGCTGTAGATTACAAACCTCGACGGGGCTCAAGAAAGTCACGGTAAGATCGACGGGACCAGCAGAGAGTACGAAGATACTTTGGGTGGCCGTGATCTGAACGAAATCAGGTTACGATGTCGGAGGGGAAAAGAACCTCAACTCACAGTCACCGACTTCTGAGTGGCTCTGGTGTAGGTCACCCCATCGACCGCAGGTGTGCCCAACCAACTGTAGTTGATACCATCAATTTTGGCGAGACCTGTCCAAGCCATCGTCTACAAGCGCATTGAGCCAACAAAACTTATTCATTCACGGGGACATGCCTGTCCGGTCCAAAAGGATGGCCAAGTGGAACTAAGAGCGCGGCCGTTTCCTCCTTGAGCCAGCCTGATGAAGATGAGTGCGTGTCAGTATTACGGTCGACAGAATATATTTTACCATGTGTTGAGATACGGCGAGCGTACAGCAAGAGGGATCGCAGAGGGATTGAAAGGTGTCGCTTTCCAATCGACCGAGGCGGCGAGAGTGGCTGCCGACAAGATAGTCGCAACAAGCTGGGTGAGACGCATTGTTGGTTGACGCGTCTCTAAGATTTTATCCAGGCTTTTATACCTAAAGATTGCCGCATCGAAGTAACATCGAAGAAGAAGAAATTGCGACACGAGTCCTGTGACCCCGTGGGGGAAGTATCTCGTGGTATCAGAATTGCGCGGGGTTTGGCCCGACGCGAAGGATGACTTGTTTCAAGTGTAACCTAGGCTTCGCTGTCGGCATTGCTGGTTGCGGGAGGTGAAAGGGCTAAATTAGCACGTTGTAGGACACTTTTCGCGAGATGCAATGGCGGCACAGCAGCCTCGAGAGGATCTAAGATGAGTGTTGATTTGTCGGGATGTTCGTGTGTCTCTGTCGATGGTAACACCCATATGACGAAGGTTCACGTGTTGGCGGGTCATGATTTCCAAGCCAGACGCGAACCACGTCGGAGGATGCAAATAATAAAGATTATATGCAGACCGCGGCTAATTCGAACTCGAAAAGATTTTCGTTCCTGAGTTCTGGTCTGCTTCGGCGTCCGAGGGTCATGGCTTCCCCAATATTATGATGGGACGAGGGGAGTATACTGCAGGTAGTTTATGGATGCAACAAACACGATAAATCTGTTGCTTGCTTGCTGACCGTCGTCGTTTGTGATAAGTCGAAACTTGTGTGACAGGTCGTCGTCTTTTGCCACCATCAACGCCATTTGGGCTTCTCTTTCCTTCCTCTCTTAGCCAAGGCTGGGTCCATTTTCGCTCCCAGCATGGCTCTCACCCAGTCTGCTCGCCCAGCACCTGGTCCATCCTGGGATGAAGAAGTCGTACCAGCCCTGCGGAAAAGTGCCCACTTGAATTTTCACATTTTAGTGTATATTCTAACGCGTATGTAGGGCTACAAGGCGAGAGTCGGGTTTTGTCTAAGCGCATATCCGCCGCAGTTTCTATCTCCTCCCTTGAAGACGTCGACCAGCCACCGAGACCTTCTTACACCCAGCGCACTTCAACTGAAACCGCAAAGAGTCAGGCCAGCGCGTCCTCCAAACGTGCCAGAACCTATTCACAACCCAAATTATCCGACCTTCCCTCCAAATCCAGGCCAACCCGTATCCCGAAGGCCACAACACGCAATGGCACGACCGGACTGCAGTCTCCCACCCCCGACTCCCCGATGCTAAACGGTCGCTTACTCTCTCCGCCGACACTCACGAGGGAGCCTTCGCAAGATACTATTCACATTCCCGCGATACAGCGCCAGACTTCCGGACTACTTAATGAACAACCACCCTTCATGCCTGGACCCGGTTCTGCGAATTCACACGACGAAGCTCCGCCTCGTCCGTCTAACGAATCAGAAGAACGACCATTTGAGCACTGGTATCGAGGGGAAGTCTCTCGAAATGGTGGCGTTGGCGAGCTCAAGATGGGGAAGCGGCAAGAGATGCTTGAAATCGCCAACTATGGTCATACTCTGAAGCAGAAGCAAGCATTAGCCGCTGCGACTGCCAACGACTCGTATCCTCGAAGGCGGAAGAGGTCGGAGAGCGCGGCGGTATTGGATAAGCGGGAAAGCTTATATCTTGATGAAGAGCATGTCAACGGGGTTGGTCGGGTGCTTGACGAAGGGCCTCTAACTGATGTAGAGATGTCGGATGGCGACGTGTATGGTCATGACCGTGAACGAAGCACGACGCCGACCCAACCTTCTAGGCAGGCGACATCACCACCCCCTGCCCTAGTGCGCGGAGCGAGCGAGCCACCCACATTTCCAAACTCTTCGCTCTCTCAAAGCTCGAGGCAACTTCAAAACCCCTCGAAACGTGCAGCTACTGCGTCTCCGTCATCTGCTTCAAGCTCCAAGAAACCTCGTGGTGGGACGCCAAACTCAACACCAAGAACTAGTAAACCCAAAGCGACCAAACCTCAGCGCACGAAACCAGATGATAATCGACGAAGCGTCGCTAATTACCCTTCCCCTGGTGATGGCGACGAAGATATGTCGAATGCGATTCCAACATGGACACAACCTCTTGCCCCGTCAACTGGAAGATGGGATGACGTTGTCTTACCTGTGGTTGCGAGGAAGAAAGGGTTAGATGGGTACTATAGCGCGGATGGAAGTCCAAAGCCAAGGCGAGAAGAACAACCCATAGCGCCAGTGCGTGTTTTGAGATGCCTCTTTTGCCAAGCTAACATATGTTTTGCAGGCTGCCGGCACGTTTGGTTGGGATCACACCAAGTACAGGCCGCCACGTGAGGATGGGGCGATTGCGATGGATGAGTTTGGCCGACCGATGCCAGTCGAGGCGAAGGACGATGAATCCCAATCACCACAAGGTGCTTTCGGGAACCCGCTTTCGCCACTGTCAGAGCATGAGAAGACGCCAGTTGGACCCCAGGCTCGGTTAAAGCCGCATCTCGTCGACCCTCCTCGCACCGCCAGCCCCGCACCTTTCTCTGATTACCGTGGCCCATCGCAGATCGATCTTTCAGCAGAAGCGGCCAAACTGGAGCAGAACGGCGGTAGGCTTCCGCCACCAGAAGAAGACGAGGGAGCGGGGTGTTGCAAGTGTGTGGTGATGTGATTCCTTTTTCTTCTTTGTTGACATACATAACCTATCGGCGGGATTTATCTTTCTTTCTTTCTCTCTGTTTGTCGCTTTTATGAGTCGTAGCCTCATTTGCCATTCGTTTCCCCCACGCATCCACTCATTTCATTACCATATCTGTAACACAAGTAGCGTAGGTAACGGTAATCCAGAACAATGCATTGTCGGGTCCCTTTTACTTTTCTGCAAGAAATTGTTTACCTTCGCCACAAGGAAAAGGGGAAAACACGCACTGCCCCCAATCTTCAACCATTTCGGCATCTTCTTTTCCATGTTTTGTAAAACATTCTTTGCCTCTTCAGCCAGAGTTGAAGTTGCGGGAGTAACTGGAGTCAGCGCAGAAGGAGGAGTGGGTAGATCGATAGCTTGTGCAAGGACCTCAGAGGAAAGAGGGGCCGAAGCACCAGAAGCTGAAAAAGGTTATTCTTTTCTATCGCGAAATCAAAGGAATGCAGACCATTGAGCTTCCTGACTTCATCTGGACGTGTGGCATCTTCGAAACGAAGGAGAAGGACCGACGCTGGCGCAAGATTGAGCTCCGCCAACGACAAGTCGCGGACGGCTGTGTCAGAGACCTTGAGGTCTCGTTTGGGCGGCTGGTCTTTGCGTAGGAGTGAGCTTTTGGATGGAACGAGAGCAAAAGCAGCATACATAGCACGAACTTGGTTTGCTGTCCATCCTCCCTCAACGAACCCCGCACGAATGCATAGATGGCTCGAATCTTGCTGTTCGACGGGAAGACCTTCTCTAGCTGGGTTCCATCTGCGAAACGGATCCGTATTGTGGTCTTGGCAGCGTTGAGCTGGTGAATCACAAAGAGAGAGTGGATTGCACACATTTGGCCATCTGTCCCTCTTGGCTTTCTGTTCTGCCTCGCGGACTGCGCGAAGCTGGAGGGGCGCATCGACCAATGCTTGGGTTCGAGCTGACAGAGAATTCTGCGCGGCTTTAAGGTCGGCGGCAGTAGGAGTCAGGTCCTCATCGGATAACGGAGCTGAGGAAATCGCATGAAGTTTCATGGAATGGATCCAAGCTTACGAAGGGGACGAGAGGCTGACGCAGAAGGCTTGTAGACCTTGAATATGTTGGGCTCTGAAGCGGGTGGGGTTGGGTTGACGACCTCAGCAGACGCAGAGACGGGCTCGGACATGGTATAATGGACTACAACGTTTCAGAAACGCTACTATAAACAATTCAGACGTACATCTATTACAAAGAAAATACTGGGGACAGAGTCAGCAAAACCGAATATTAGCAGAAGAGTTGAAGTTCAGATAGAAATGATAGTTGTCTCATAGTAGTTGCCCCAGGACCGCTGGCGGGCGGTCCCTTTGGTATGAAGCAACCACCAATCGAACGCAAATTACAGTACACATCCCGGAAAGAATAGAATGGAAGATATACTGACCAAGTTTTGGAGAAAGGAAAGAGTCAGCAAGACGTGTGACAAGCGGTTGACTGATGTTTTTACTCCGCCGCTCGCTGGCGACGCGCCCCCTACGGCGTCTAGCCAGTCGCTCGCTGGCGACAACAGGGAACTACCATGTCATCCCTGACCCCGACTCTCATGTTCCCGTGGAGGACTATCGTGGAATGACCGCGCAGGACATTCTGAAAGAAACCGGCCATACCAGCACGGACAACAAACTGCGTCATTTTACTGGTGAGCAGGCCCTGTTTCCGTGTTTCCGCTCTGATACTCTATTCCAGTCAACTTTGGGTATGTGATGATGTGTAGGGTTCCAGACAGAGCTTGACCTTCCCAGCCCCCAACATCCCGCTGCCCATGGCGTGCTTCGGATGATTTTAGAGCTCAATGGCGAAGAAATTCTTAGAGCGGACCCGCATATTGGCCTTCTTCATCGTGGAACAGAAAAACTCATCGAATACAAGACCTATATTCAAGCATTGCCGTATTTCGACCGTCTCGACTACGTCTCGATGAGTGCGTCGTTCTCCTCCCGTCATTTGGCTCTCTTTCTGACGGTCGTTAGTGACAAATGAGCTCTGCTACTCTCTTGCGGTTGAAAAGCTGCTCAACATCGAAGTCCCCGCCCGTGCGAAATGGATACGAACGTTGTTTGGCGAGATAACCCGAATCCTGAACCGTGTGTCGATACAGAGAAGCCTTATATCTCGTCTCACCTCCTGCTAGATCTCATGGCTGTTCTCACCCACGCTATGGACGTTGGCGCGCTGACACCGTTCCTCTGGGGCTTCGAAGAGCGCGAAAAGCTGATGGAATTTTATGAGCGTGTTTCTGGCGCCCGACTGCATAGCGCCTACGTTCGGCCGGGTGGTGTCGCATTCGATCTTCCCCATGGCCTACTAAACGACATCTTCATGTGGGCAACGCAATTTGGCTCCCGCATCGACGAGATTGAGGAAGTCGTCACTGCCAACCGAATCTGGAAAGAGCGAACTGTCGGTGTTGGTGTTGTGACCGCTGAGGACGCTCGCGGTTACGGCTTCAGCGGTGTTATGGTTCGTGGGAGCGGTATCAAGTGGGATTTGCGAAAGGTTCTGGGATACGACGCCTATGACGAGGTGGAATTCGATATTCCCGTCGGTCAGAACGGCGACTGCTATGACCGCTACCTCTGCCGCGTCCAAGAGATGCGAGAATCGCTCAACATTATTAGCCAGTGTCTCAACAAAATGCCGGCTGGCGCCATCAAGGTTGACGACCATAAGTTGGTGCCCCCGCCACGTGCTTCGATGAAGGAGAGCATGGAAAGCTTGATTCACCATTTCAAGATCTTCAGTGAAGGATATAGCGTCCCTCCCGGCGAAACCTACAGCGCCATCGAGGCACCGAAAGGCGAGATGGCAGTCTACCTTGTGTCGTATGTGGTCTATCTGTCGTGCGCGCTGTGAAATTCATCTGCTCTTAGCGACGGATCCAACCGACCGTACCGCTGCGCCATCCGAGCACCTGGCTTTGCTCATCTGGCTGGCTCGGACTTCATGATGAGACGTGAGTCTTTAGTTCTATTTTTCTCGATGATTTGCTGATTTGTCCAGACGTATGACGATTTCCCCCCGCTTTTCGCAACTTTCTCAACCTTCCTAGCATTTCCTCGCGGATGCTGTCGCTATCATTGGCACTATGGTACGTCCTGACTTATGACCCAAGCTCATCCAATAATCAATTCAACAGGATCTTGTGTTCGGGTATGTTCCCCTTTGTGAACCTATGTGTTCTCTCTAACTTGCTGCAGCGAGGTAGACCGGTAGCAGCACCATTTGTAGCCAACAATATACATTTCGTTCCTTTCATACTGACCAGCCTTTCCCGTCTTCCCGGTATTGTGGGCGCTCCGTTTGGCATAACCAGAAAATCCACTCCTCCACTGGCCGCATTCCGAGAAGCACGCGATTGAAGTAGCTCCCTGCGGCTACCACACATACCCCAACGACGCAGTCTAGCACCCAGTGGTTGGCGGTTGCGACAACGCTCAAGCCCATCAGCATGGGATATAAGGGGGCAAGGATTCGCAGCCACTGGTGTCGTCCATACAGAACAATACTGGTCGCCAGAAGGACCGATGTGCCGAAATGGAGGCTGGGCATCGCAGCGAGTGTCAACTGGAAGCGATTATTGGCCCATGCACTGGTCTCGCTGCCTGCGTGGATAACATCAACGAAGCCGACGGTCCGCGGCATAAGTCGCGGCGGGGCACACCGCCAGAATGACAATATGGGAAATGCGAGGAGATTGTCGAGGGCAATAGTGCGCCGGACAGCCGTGAAGCGGCGCCGAGGAAAGTACGTGAACCCATAGGCCAGAAAGGCGATTCCAATGGCTATGTGGGCCAGATAAAGCTGCTTTAAGAACCCCATCAGCATCGGGTGGCACCGGAGAACGAACCGCTGGAATTGGAGCTCGATGGCAACACCTAATCTGCTCTCAATTGCCATGATTTCCGAGGCGTGTGCCTGGGCGAGGATAATCGTGGCTGCTTTTCGCTGAGGATCGGCATTTATGAACACGGCAGAGGCGGCCCGCAGAAGTTGGTAGGGCCAGTAGGTGAGCAGCCAGTAAAAAATCTCGATCGTAAACGGGAACAAGGCCAGCAGCCTGCTCGTGTGCCGTTGTCTGAAACACGTGTTGTCAGGAATTGGTATGGCATGACGCGCTGGGTGGTTGGTGTTTGCGTGGAGGAGAGGTGTCTCGGCATCAGAGGCAGAAAGGTATGACCACAGACTGCTGAACGGTCGTCGACGATTCACGACGACTCCAACAGCGAAAATGAGAATGATCACTGTTCCTCTTTGTTCATATGGTTCATCTTGAAACCGGAGAGCACCCACCTACAGGCTCCAGGACGTTCTTCAGCGCTGTGGTCATGGTAGGTTATGGACAAGCTATCCGTTGTTCTTCCTCCACCAGTTTTGATATACAACGAGCGGCTAATACGTCCAGACGGCAGAGAACGGCACGCAAGCAAAGCTGTGGCTGTTGACTAGACATTCACGATGATGTCGATGACGATGGAGTCAGTGGGAACGATCCAAGAATAATTGGACGGGATCCCGTGAAACGAAGCGAGCAGGTTTATCGTCATCGGTCAATTTGTATGTGCTGCCGTCGCGGCAAGATAGCCTAAGCCAAAGGAGCGCGGGGGTTGAAGGTTTTCAAAGATCTGTTGGGTGATGTCGTGCCGAATACTTCCATGGGAGACGAGTAGATGCCAAGCTCGGAATGCGGGCAGGAATCAAGGTCGCAATGTGTAGGAGTGCGAGAGTTTATGCCAAGAGTCATGGAATGAGCACTCAGCATCGCGTGGCAGCATCATATAAGAAAGGATCTGGATCCCCAAGTTTGGTGGCGGAACCGAAGAGGTTCTTACATGCATTGGCACAGTGATTGTCTGTAGCGTGACTGCAAATAAGTACTTTGAAGGCTTTTACGGTTTTACTTAATGCATTGCGCAACCCGACCGTTCGTCGACACTTATTAGTAGATAGGCGGTTGGAGAGGAAGTTCAGAAGGAACATACATGTTAAACTAGGCATTTTACACCAGCATCATGTTGGTATGAAATTGAAGCCCTTATCTCCCAGTCCTAAGTAGCAACTGTGTAGTTGGCCTGCGAAGCAAGAAGATTATTTGGATCCGAGCGGACCTCGCTTGTGGAATACTTCACATCAACGGTGTAGGTCCCAGCTGGCACTGACACTTGTGTCTTGTTAGTCAGATTTTCTAGCGTTCTCCCGTCTTGCGACCAGATGACGGTGTAGCTCTCCGCAAGGCCTACAACGACATCGGCGCGGAACTGCGCCAATGGAACAAGGCGAAGTGTAAGGGTTGTTTCGTGTGGATCCGACGAGTTGGATTCATCAATCCCATCTATTAAACTGACATCCCGCAGAAGGGACAACCAGAGACCCTCCAAACAGGCTTTGCAAAAGTTCGGTGTCGTGACTTGGCGCATGAGACAGTCTTCGTTGGTGGGACGATAGCTGGTCGTGTTATCAAGCGAAAATCTGCGACTGGTCATCCATTTGGAGTGTTAGCATCGATTGTGCTTACGTCGGATAGAGCGAATAGTGGCCGGAAGTGGATTCAAATTCACTTTCATCGCCGAATTCGAGTATCTCTGCGCTGCATATCTGCGCCACGGGTTGGCGTTTATCGTTAAGCAACGTGAAAGACAGTGTGTGTTGCCCCGCACTCAGCCCTCCTGGGCGATGAACATCATAGTGCCATCTATCTATGCCAATATTCTGGCGTGGTACCCAACCAAGGTCGGCGCCATCCAATTCGACGAGAAGATCGGTTCTCTCCGGCACGCCGGAGAGGGAGAAGCGGACCAGGTGGTTTGAGTACGCCCCGGATGACTCCCAAGTAACTGACCACGGCTTACTCGCGTTTAACAACGTCCAGGAGTATTCCTGCATTGGCATGACAGACCGCTCCACCCGCGGACTGGAAGGGTCCGTAAGCCAGTGCTGCCATGGAATGGGCTCGGAGAGATCGGTGTAGGCGTTGGGACCAAAGTAGGCAAACCCTCCATCGTATTCTTCCCCCACTTGGATGATAGAGTGGCCTAGCTCGTGTCGGAGAACCAAAGCGCCATTGGCCAGAGAGGGAGTAATTACTCTGAAAAAGGTTGATTGGTACACGCCAATCAGAAAGGACCACGAACGTGAAGCGTCCGCCCAGTCCTTCAAAGCTCAGTTTGTTGTCGGTGTGCCCAAGTACTTAGATGACATACCGCCATACAGTGGATCATTGCCTGGGTTTTGATCAGTCTGATCAACCAAAGTGGCGACAACCTTACCCATAAGAATGGGGTAGTCACATTGTGTGCCCAATGATGTGCAGGCTGCCTCTGCAACCTCTGGCGCTGCGTAGTAAACACCTCTCAGCTCTGTGCCGTCCCGATATAACCCAAAGACTGTACTGAGGCAAATTAAACGGCAATTCTATGTTCGTGTTCACACACTCCTTTGGTGTTCCTCCAACTCCAACTCCGCTCTGGGCAAATATACATATTAGGGACGTTCAGGTATGTAGAATAACTTTACTTCTCTGCTGGGAGTAAATGCGCCCCAGAAGTTCATCAGAGGCTTAACAGTGTTGAAAGTTTGGTTCCCGGAGATGTCATTTGCGAGACGCGTAGCGTCTCGAATGAACTTGTCGCGTTCCTCCACAAGATCTGTGTGGTTTCAGCTAGATGGATTTTCATTCGGGTTACGGACATCCGTCCGAGAAAAATACAAGATCAACTCTATTTGACGGGGGCCCGGAGACGACGAGAGGTAAAAGTTCGAGCGGTGGACTCGGCACAGATTCTGAGGCGGAGGGTAGCCGAAGAGTGGTTTGGGGTTCGGAATTGAAGTCCCCCGTATAATGTTCAGCCACGCATTTGCCCGAGTCTGCCAGTTGGCGAGAAAGAGCAGGAAGTGCAAGTGCAGCAGACAGAAAGGCAAGCCGCATGAGAATAGGACGATAAGAGTGTCGGGATGTCTGTAAACAAGCAGGTTTACATAAGCGTCGTGTCGGTTGCATTGCATTTGTGACACTCTCTTCTCACATTCCTGTCATTGACCTATCGCAGGTGCTTATAATATCCCACCCAACACGTCCAATCTTCCTCTTCTGCTCGCGCTTCCAGAAACATGTCAGCAGGTCAACAAGAATGCCACGCAGAATAACTGAAAAATCAAGTGCTCAACCGACTACATCCAAGTTACGAGTGAAACATCGAATACTTGGATTCAGCCAGTGCACTAGGGAGACCAAAGGCAATCAATGCTTCAAGGGCGGCCATGGTGTCGTGTCTGTCGATTCCAGCGCCAATGTTTTTCATGATCCCGAACCACGTCGACATGGCCGCTTTCACAAAGACTCAACAGTAAACGTGACGACTCCTAAGTTCAGAAGCCACGCGAATCCCGAATCATCGGCATATATATAGTATTAATAACTGAACATCTCCGCTAACACTCAAACACCATGACGATTACCAAGGACGACTCTGCCCCACTCATCGCTGTCGTTGGTGCAACTGGCCTTCAAGGCGGCAGTGTTGTCAATGCTTTGGCGGAATCCAAACTTGCCTACCGTATCCGAGCGTTCACACGCAATGCTACCAAACCAGCGGCGGAAGTCCTAAAAGCCAAAGGAGTTGAGGTTGTGCAAGTCGATCTGACGGTCGAGAACAAGGACCAAGTCTTCAAGGCCTTTGTTGGGACAAACTACGCCTTTGTATGTGGTCCTGTCACCTCGCAGACGACTCGGACTGTCTGATACATATGCACAAGCTGGTCACTAACTTCTGGGAACATCTCAACATGGAGAGGGTGTGTCAAGATTTGGTTTACAACTGTTCGCTCAACGATGATCCAGGAAGTTGCCGAAGGCAAGCTCCTTATTGACGCTGCTAAAGCTGTCGGAGCTCGGGGCATCGTTTGGTCTGGCCTCCCCTCCGTTTCCAAGGCCAGCAACGGGAAGTACACCCACGTTGTGCACTTCGATGGCAAGGCTATTGTGACCGAGTATGGCCGCCAGTCGGGCGTGCCCTTCGTCAACGTCCCAGCTGGGTTGTACGCTCAGAACTTCTTTGGTCCCTTTGGGTTGATTTTGAAGAGACCTGACGGCACATTCGAGATTGCTTGGAACATGCGTCCCGGGAGTAAAATTCCTCTCATCGACATCGTGAAGGATTATGGCCTTTTCGTTCGCAAAGCAATCGAATCAGAGCTGTTCCCAGATGGACAAGATATCAACACCGTCAGCGAAGATATCGCTCCTACCCTCATTGCTGAGCAGTTGTCCGAAGGTACTTTCCGAGCTTGATCTCTTGAACATCGAGTCTGATTCCGACCAGTCACCGGCAAGACTGTTGTCTACACTCATCTCACGACGGAAGAATGGGTGAAGAGGTTGATCGGTGCCGGTCAGCCTGAGGCTATCGCCATTGAATTAGTGCAAAGCTTCACTTTTTTCGATGAGATAGGATGTATGTCTCTTTCGTTGCATCTCGACGCCTTCTCATTTTCATAGACTATGCTGGACAGCCGAGCGCAAGTACTGAAGGTCTGGGGACACCGACACAAACGTGGAAACAATTTGCTCGAAGTGCCGATTGGAGTAAAGTTTTGATTTGACTGCTAGCTAGCGAGAAGGGAAGGGAACAACTTGAAAGAATGGATAGACACGGTGGAATATGCTGCATAGGCTCTAAGCACTTGGATTAATTTCATGAATGATATCACGTGGACGTGCACCTCATGAACCCTCTTCTCCCAAACCTCCATTGACTGAATGCGGGGCCCACCACTAGACTCTACATCCTCAGAGGTTTCGTACCTCAGCGATCGAGTCGCCAAATATATTCTTCGACTCCGCGCCAGATCTAGTACAACTTGCCCCCTGACCAACAACCGTTGCTTACTTACACTGCGCCTTAGTTCAAACGTTTTGTTTGTTTGTTTGTACGTTGCGCTTGGTCGTGAAGATCGAAAATTGCATCACGCTGACATGTGATCAACTTTCTGTCCCACCTCGACTCCCGAGTGCGCCTAGTTGACTATCGTTATTCATGCTCTCTAATCCTGTCCTGTCCGGCTTGAAACATTCCTTTCAAACGGCGTCATGACCTGTTACCAGTCCCGAAACCTCATGGATCACGGCAGTAAATGGTTATAGCCGATTCTCCTGAAGGTGGTTACCTCCACGCGTTTAGCCTATTCCGGACGAGTTGAATGCGCAACCTCTACTCATGCTGTGCTGGTTCATGGCACCAGCGCTACTCGACTATATACTAAAGTCAAACGGGCGAGGAATGCCTGACTCTCGTGATTATTTTCACAATGACAAACTACTCAGCTTCAAGGCCTCACACGTTGGCTCTGGGCAAGACCAGGTGAGTGGGGCTCTGAGCCGGCTGGCTCAGCGATAAGTCCACCGACTTCTCAGCGCCGCTTGAAGTTGCCCTTGTGAGAGCTTCTTACTTAGCTTCCCATAGAGCATATCGAAGAAATACTTTTTCTGCACCAACTTTCGGTTGCGATATTCCTGAAGACCCTCTACATGCCGCAGCCAGTCCTGACGCAATGCTCGAAGCCCCCGTCCGCATCGACGACGACGAACCTGTCTATTCATTGCTCGATTTTTCCCGTCGTCGAGTCAGCAGTATTGAGCCCCGCCAGTCCACCCTCACTGCAGCTCTTGAAAATGCCGCCTCTCGTCCAAACCCGTTCAACGAAGCGGTTGCAGCCGGCGGTGATGCTGAGGGCCCGTACACAGTTCGGGTTCGCTTTCCTCATGCACAGTCATCAGCCGCATGGCTAATGGAACTGCATGTCCCTGTGAATTCCACGGTCGAGGATGTGATTGCTCGCGCTTTATTCGCCTATTGGAATCAAAACTTGTTGCCGCTACTCGAATCCGAGCGAGAAGTCAATGTCGGAGAGTGGATCGCACTTGTTCCTGGTCGCAATGGTGTCGTGGAGAAAAGGATTGCCTGTCGTGCGTGCTGCCCATTTTCATGTTGCGAGATTCATCTTCGCCACAGACTTGATTTCACACTATCGCAAATATGACATGGTGACCATTGTCAGAAAGCCTACCACCTACTTAGAGAGTGTGTTCTGATCCTAAGTGGAAGAGGTTTCTCAAACTGATGCTTCATAGAGCAAAACATCCAACAACAAGTTGCTCAGTTAGATCTCCGTTCGGGTCAGTCGAAGCCACGAGCGTTGACTCTCAAGAAGAATCGTCCGTGACAACTGCTCCTTCCAGGAAAAGCGAATATAATGCTGGATAGAATACACATAATACAGGTTGCTTGATCGAATGCAGTGAAGACTATCGGGGTAGGCTGATTTGAAAAGGTTAGTGACTGCTTGGAACACTTCCAATCCGTCCACCATCCACAAGCCAAACAGCACCATTGACGTATGCCCCAGCGGGGCTGGCGAGGAACAGAATGACGCCGGCGATTTCCTGGAAACCATTGTGTCAGAAATAAGCATTATTGTGGTCTGTCGAACCTCTTCCGTGCCCGCCCGCTTGAGCGGTACGCTCTCGACTATCGGGAGAGGGCCGTGTCCATTGATGGAGACCCCAGGAATGACGCCCGCTGTCATCTCTGAGCCACCGTTAATCCAACTCTACTGCGAAACGATAACTCACCACTGGGGAAGACCCCCGGGGCAAGCACGTTACTGCGAATGCCCCAGGGAGCTAGAAGATTAGCTAGCAGCTTGCCAAGGTGCGTGCAGGCCGCTTTGGACAGGGTATACGAAAGCGAAAGGATGTTCGCGTCAAGACGAAAACCGCCTGAAGACGATATGGACAGGACCTGCGACGAAAATAAAGGCGGCTGGTGCGAGTGGCCGTCATCTGGCCGTCGCTTCCGCAGATTTCCCTGGTGAAGGAGGTCCAAGAATGCGATGGTGGTGTAATACACGGAAGTAACATTCGTCAGAAATGTTTCCGTAAACCCCTGCAATCTTCAAAGTAAGCAGCCTGAGGATTATTTCTGAGAAGAGACAACCTCTGGGGAGCTGCTTTCCCATAGCGAGGCTTGGAATGCCTTTATCGACGGAATTAGAGGTTCCGATCCGGACAAAGAGCTCTCTGGCCTGGGCAAGGGGTGGCTATAGAGATCTCGCGCTATACCTGTCAACAGTTGGGGGTGTGTAAAAATGGAAATTCACGCGCACGGACCAGCGTTGTTCACCAACAGGTCTATATAACCGTGTCTCTCTTTCACGGTCTCCGCGATCGCGAGCAGTGACTCGCGGTCGGTGACATCTCCCTCTACGGCAATGATATTACCATGTTTCTTTGATTGCGTGAGCAAGACTGGGGAAGAGGTGGAGGGTAGGCCATACACTTATTTCTTCAACAGTGCTTTGAAGGACATCAAGTCTCCTCCCAATAATGTAAACCGTTGCACCATTGTTTTCAAGTGCGGCGGCCATCATTCTCCCGATGCCTACACCAAGGTTTGTTGACACACAAGCACCCGGGAAAATCGACGACGCACCACTCCCGCCACCCGTTATCACTGCAACCAGACCTTGTACATCGAAAAGACGATGTGGAGATAGTTCAGAGCCCGAGTCCGAGCGATGGAGGGGTTGACTTTCCGCTATTTGTGGCGGGACTTGAAAGCTATTGGCAAGGGACGGAGAAAATGGGGTCATGCGTGCAGTTGTTGGCGCAAAGTCTGACCCAAGCTAGGTTATAAACCGAAGACGGGCGGTGGTGTATGTCTCAGACGCCTTCCTTCCGTCATCTCTTATAGGAAAGTAGCAGACGCAGATGGGGATAAGTAATCATGCTGATCCCTCTGACAATCACCGGACCGCGTTGGACTCTAAACCCGTTGGAGAGTTGGAAACATGAAGCGAAATGACTCAATTTTTGTTGTAGGCTCCTTAGAAGGTCAATGGACTTGGCTTAGCGCGAAGCACTGCAGGGTATCGAGAGAGCAGCGTTTTTACTCAAGAGAAAGCACGGATCGAGAGAAGCGATCAGATCGGCGAAGATATGCCATCAAATTTCACGTTCCGAGAAAGTAAGTAAAGACCATGCCTGAAAAAGCCCCATTGTCAGTCGCAAGTCAGTCGTGTGCTCTCTTCGTTTCTTGAGCCGACGAGACTCGGAAACACATCACCCAAGTTGAAGTGATAGCTCAACGACCACAAGCAAGAATCTCCGCATGTGTGGGGTGCAATGAAACCCGGCTAGTAGCCTAGGTGACATTTCAAGTCACTCGACGCCACAAATTGGCTCTTGGATGGCTAGATAACACTCACGGGAGTCGTGTTGTAACTTCCAAGCCTATATGTAATTCGCTCAGTCGCCGTTGCTCTTTGAATGCGCATAGGTCTCCTCCAAGCGACGTTTCACGTAGTCCCCTGCGGTGACAACCTCATATTGAGGGGGGTAATCTTCCGAAATGCAGCTTGGAAGCGGCTTATATATCAGTTAGCTTTCTACCGTCATTGAAAGAGTATGGTTACCTCTAGAAGCACATCATAATCCGTTCCAAAGAAGAGCGGGATCGAGTATCGCTCCAGTCCCGACCGATTGGTGACACGGTGCACGGTCGACTTGAAGACGTCGTCTAGCTTTCGATGAGGCGCAAGAAGGAGGAAGAAGATGCGAATAATAAAGAACATACTTGTCCAACGGGCAAACTGGTCTCCGAGACTGGCAAGATGTGAGGGATTAGCGTCGCGCAAGGGCTAGACTTTACTTGATGACGAAGGTTCCCGGAACGGGTACCGCGTCGATCCATTTACCGTCAGCGTTTTGCACCTGCAGACCGCCGACAGCGTCCTGCCAGAGAATTGTAAAGCACTAGTCATCTAGCCATGAGCAAACGCGAACTCGGAGGAAGGCCAGAGTCTGCCTACCTCATAACTGAACTCAAGGATTGAGTAGCGACTAAGACAGAAGCGTTCTTACTCCGTGTGTGCCCCGATTCCAATCACCCTACCATCGTCGTCAATGGCAGGTTTCTGCGGCGGGTAATGTAAGAGTCGCATTATCGCGGCGGGCTTGGTTGTCTATGCAAATTTCAGCACCAATGTTCACTGAAGAAAAGAAACAGAGACCTTGTCGTTGAAGAAGGCCTCGGGGAGATCTAGCGCAAGCGCAAATAGCGGGAAGAGAAGTTGTCCTAACGAGACTGCTGCACGGCTATATCGCCTTTTGTTGGATTCCATAACGCTTTCGAAGAGAAGACCACCAACTAATATGCTAAAACACACTCGCGGAAACCGGGGAGCAGCGTCTCCGCTGGCCACACATTCACGCCAGACATGGCGTTGTTACCTGGTTCCTCCCAGCCAAGGTCAAATCCTTCGTGTAAATCACCCCTTCCCTCGGGATTCGTGTTCTCCCCTAAGCCAGATGATGGGCAACAGTTAACCGCCAGATATTACCAACATCCACACCTAGAAGCGCTGTGTAGCCTTTGAAGTTGGTGCTCTTGTGAATATCAAGCTAGTGAAATGAAGCATCGGGGACAACGCAATGCAGAGCAACGTAGTACACGGACAGCAAGCTTGGCATTGATAGGCAGAGCGAAAAAGTCGCCGGCGGCAGTTATCGTATCAGCAATGACGGCCTCTTGGATGGTGTGGTTCTTGAGATAGAAAAAGCCGACTAACGGATTGAATAGGTATGGGGGGAACAGTGAAATGAACACACCATTGATACTAGCATCGCGTATTCGATCTGCTAGAGCACGGCGCTTGGCGAAGTCGGCGCTGGTGGCATCCGTGAAGTCACTGTCAATTTTGGTCCTCAGACCCACCAGGGTTGGGAAGTGTGTCAGGGAGACAGACATGATTGGAATTTGCTCGAATGTACTGTCCGTGCGAGCCTTGGCGACAAGAAGCCCAGGTTGAGGTGTTGGTAGTTGCGAGATCATACAATATTTTGGGATCAGTAGCGTTTGTTGGTGCTGATGTAGACTGATTTGACGTTAAGAAGAAGTCAATAGGGTAGCATTTTGTTTGTATGAGAATAAGCCAAAATATTTTTATGTGTATGTTTTGGTTATCATATTAGGATCTTGTTATTGAAATGCCATCATTATTGAAAATAGCAATAATTGAGATGATTTGAGTAAAAAAAGTAGATTACAGTTGTTTTCTGGAATTTATATTAGGATTAGGCTTATGTTTAGGTTTAGGTTTATGATAAATAGTGAGATAGTTTAGAAGTGATTTAAGGTTATAAACATGAAATATAAAACTATCTATAATATGAAAACATAACTATAATCTTAAATTCTAAGTACAGTATTTTACGAAGGCACTAAAATGTCCCATACACGGTCAACAGAGGCAAAAACGACCAGGCGGATGGAAATAGGCAGACATGATATAGTGAGAACGACCGGCGAAAAATGTACTGCAGCTTCGGGACGTCTTGTTTTAGACGCGTCTGGTCTCCAGAAGCAGAGATCTGAAAGAACAATCAAAGACACATTAATTTATTGAGAGAAAGCTTATGATCCATGGCAGTTCGTGGTAGAATCGGAGAGTCGGAACGTACGAAGTCGAGGTGGCCGTGAAGAGCGAAGAGCCTGGCAACGTCGGTTCTGAGGACAGGACCGGACACACCCCAGACTTTCATTGTCATCGTCACCACCGCTAGCCAGCAAGGACTGGAATGAAAGTTGACACCTTGAACGTGCCTAAATTGAGAATGAGAAAGATGTTGGCGGCGGGAGTGAGTCACAACACATCTTTTGCTCTTCAAAAAAAAACGGGCAACAAGCACGCCCATTTGGTAGTCCCTACTGCCGTTATTAAGAATAGTAGCGAGCAAAGGTCGCGTTGAGTGGAACGATTCGCTTGTGAGCATCACCGACGTGAAGGGCAGAAGAAGATTAAGGTCGTGGCCGTGAATTATGTAGAAGGAAGAGAATGGCTATGTTATTATGTTTATGCTTTGAATCAGCTTCATGTATCATTATTATGTGTGTGTTTAAGTCCAAGTTTAGGTCTCTTCTTTCTAGAACGAAATCATCTAGGATTCTTATATTCTCTCTAAAATCAAACCTGAAAGCTTTCGATTTCTTTCCTGTTGTAATTTCATGAACATGAAATGAACATGAAATAAACATGAAATGAACATGAAATTCAGGTTCAGGTGTGGATGTTTTTTCTATCTTTTTGTTACCTAAAAACATTGTGGCTTACCCTAGAAAGAACAAAATGTTTAGTTTTAAGTTTGTTATCATAGGGATACATTTCATTTCAAGTTGATGGCAGTATTGGCAAGCACGAGATCAATTATAGATAGTTCAATTAGATTGAATCGGGATGTAAACGCTGGTATATGTAAGTCATTCTGACGTCAACAAATGATTTAAGTTATAGTCATTGGACATATAAGGAAAGCGTACGATCAAATGGTGTTGATTGTGTAATATGGGAAGTTCTGGTAGTTGCGGCGAGTCCATGATGGTGGTGAAAACACAAGTTAAACTGATTGCGCGTGATGACACTCTCATTGAAAGACTCAAAGTGTTCTATGAGCCAAGCCAACAGAGCCACTGGGAAGCTCAAGGGTCCTCTGGAAAAGTGGCTTCTTGAGGCCCACTGACAAAAATGATCATTTCCTGCTCCATGAAGTGTCTTTTTGGGGCCAAATCCAACTAAATCAAGCCATGTCCCTCCCGAAATGCTGTTCACCAAATTTGGCCTATATGACGGACAAATCCGGCCGTGTTGCAATGTTAGGCCGTAGGCCGTATCACGTGCCAGCACCAGGAGCAAAGGTGCCAATCCGAGCACTCTAAGTTCGTGATATTATAGATATTACACTTGGTTACTGATGTACTTCTAAACCCAATTATCCCTCTCGTCTAATTTTTCTGGGCCAAGTTCCGCGCGAAATGGAAGAAATCGACACTCGAGGCGTTCACACCATATTTGTAGATCTAGTCCGTTTCAGACAACAAACGAGCAAGCAAGACAAAATACTCACGAAATGGGAGGCCACCCAGCTGGAAAACAACGCTCTTTGATATGGCTCCGGTAAGCGCTTCAACAACGTTTCCAGCCCAATCTTGTCGACCAATGTTTTCGGCACGGCTCGGCGGATAACGCCCTCCCGACTCGGAACATCGTCGAACAAATCTGAGCTTTCCAATTCGGCCTGGAGGTTGTTCAACGTTGAGCTCAACTCGTCCGAGATGACTGTGCGTGGCTTGGAGCCTCCCAGTCTTGCATGTTCTCGCCAGATACAGGTGAATTCGGCAGCAGCATTTTCCGTGATCTTCGTCTGGACATCTTTCACGTAGTTTTCGTAGAACTCGGTGGGCTTGCCATCCTTAAAGATCATAAGGTCAACATACTCCTCTGTTGACAGTGCAAGTCCCGCGAGGACTTCCAACGAGGAGCTAGTGACACCACCTGATCTGCTTTAACTACAGTCCGAGCAGAGGTGAGGAACGTACCCTTGTTGGCACTGGAATCCTTGAATAGCACAACCTTGCGCTTCTCCAAGTACAGACGTGCTTGTTGTGTCACGAACAGGTTGGCACCCTCAACAATATACTTGAAGTGTGGTTTGCCCTCGCTGTCCACAAGAGCAGCCATATTCGAGATATTGACCGCTTCCGGTCGACCACCGCAAGGAACAAGAAGATCCGCCTTGAACCGAAGGTGGGCGGCATTCCGGAAATCAGTACCGTCCAAAACAACCTCGCCAGCTGGAGGGAAGATTAGTTGACAGGACGAGAGAAGAAAGCCTGAAACTTACATGGCAACTTGACATCGTGCTCCTCGACCTTGACAAGGTAGCCATCCTTCCCGAGCTTGCTCTTGTCGAAGTTGCCAACCGGGATGCGCAGCTTCGCCAGACGGATAAGCTCTTCGCGATTGATACCCGCCGGGTCAGCAAGCACACCAGAGCCGTCAATGACAGCCACAGTCTTATCCGAGGAGAGGAGGATTTCGTCTGTGGAAGAGTCAGAAGCTGAGAAGCATCCAATGACACGGACTTACTGGAGCCCAAGTCGCCATCTGGACCACCAGTCTGAACTTTAGTGATATCCTTCTCCCGCAACCCAAGTTGTTTGTAAATTCCGAGAACGTATTGTCGAATGGACAAACTCGTCATGCCGTATCGGTCGTGCGGCACACCACCTAATGTTTCGGCAGACTTGCCAGTTGTGAATGACTTCCACCATGTTTCCGCTCCCCGATCGCGGGCATGGACTACGTGAGTCAGGCCACAGGCTCAAGCAACGCAAAAAATCAACGTACTCGCTGCCCAGTCCATCATGTCTGCCGTCCCTTCGTCAGGTCCAAAGAACAGCAACTCAGGCTTCCCATAGAGATCGACAATAGGCTCTTTAATGCCAGGGGATTGACCAGGAATCAGGAGATCGATGATAGACTGCGGTCATAAGAAAATGGGTTGCAGAGGATAAAGACGCGACTGACATCAACATATTTTTCGAAGCAGGCACGTGGGTTGGCACCGAGGGAGGGAAGAATGGTTCCCTTTGCGCCTCCTTCAGGAATATCCTTATTCTTCAGCGATTGTGTTGAAGCCAGACCGTAGTTTTCGTCGAAGCTGCCCCCGATAACTCAATGGTACGAAAGCAACATGGATTTAAAGACGTACAGTTGCCGCTGGTTGATGGAGTAATTCTCCTTGTTCCTGGACATGACAATCCGGATGCCACCGCGAGCAACGTCTCGGAAACGAATGTGGAAACCACGGAATTCATTGCCTAGACACGTGTCAACAAGAACGTTCGATCCTGGAAACTGCACCTACCGATTACGAAAAACATCCCAAATGGCTTCCTGGGGTATTCAACCTCTGGTAGGAAGTCTGGCGCAAGACGGAAGGACAGTGCGACCTTGGTTGGCTGATAAAAGTTCGTCTTGAGAACATGTCTAATGGATATTAGGTCAAATGTCGAGAAAAATAACAAGCGACGCACTTGTTGAAGATAAGGAAGCTCTCCAAGACTTGCAGTTCATGCTTGTTGGGTACAGATCTCCTTAACTTGTCGTGTAGCTCTTCGTCGGTCAGCGGCTGAACCGTTTGTAGGCGTTGATAGCTCAGTGTCGGACCACCCAGTCCCTGGCCAACACTCTCGGGGTAGTGAGCCATCGCAAAGTTAACATAGAGCAGACGAATAAGGTCTGGGTAAGCCGTGATGACGTTGGCAATACTTTCACGCGTGAAAGTCTCTTCACGGAATCGACGTTGGACGGCGGCGAGCACCTCAGCGTGAGCGGGGTCGTCAGCATTGAGGACATTAAGAAGCGCAAGATAAGCAGGGCCGAGGCGATTGCAGAAGTGTTGTGCGAAGATCCAACCACAATCTATAACATTACGTGTCAACATAATGGAACGAAACTGTGGTAAAAGAATAACGCACATGCATATGTTGCCTCCTGAACTGCGTGACTGCCCGGCGCCTTCGGAAGGAAGAAAGGGTTATCTGGAAGGCAAAAGAGTAAGCTGGCCTCCTTCATCACTTGATAGATCGAATGCTCGATGGGAGGGGCACCATGAGCGCCAGGAAGAGGGTTGAGATATAGCGATATGATGGTAATCCCGTTGCTGAACTGCTCAACGTATTTCCGGACGGAATAGAGCGCGTAGTAGTGGTAGAGATTGGACAGGGCGGAGAAGAAGTGGCGTGTTTTCCCCTTGTGAGAGTCGTAGGCGATGACCAGACGATGTTGGCGAGTGCCTTCAACTTGGAAGTGATTGAGTACTGGGCCGTAACGACGCGCTTTCACGGTCTTCATGGCGTTCTGGTAAATCTGGAGCGTGTTTTCTGACGCCTTTTCAAGGAAGATGGGGTCGGAATAAGCACGAATGTCGTCCGTCTCTTCCTTGGGCAATGGGGGGAAGTTGCATTTGGAAACAAAGTAGCAGCGAAGCTGTTGGGAGGCAGTGGCACTGACAGAACCAAGGGAACGATATGTTTCCAGTCGATATGGGGTGTCGGTATCAAGGAAGAGATCATCGATACGAGTCTCGCAGATGGAGCCTGGGCCATCGGTCGTCGTTACTCCTGGTGGGCTCGTATGGATGAATGTCGCGCCCTTTCCCTCTGTGATTTTCTCCAAGTCGATGACGAGGCTGTCCGCGTTGTGCTTCGTATAAGCCTGAATCTTGGCAGCATAGAGCGCAATGATGTGGTCGGAGATGACGGCAGCCGACTCGTTCGCGAAGTACGTGTCATCGATACCAAGGCTAGTGTAGAACCACGAAACCTCGCCGGCAACGAGTGGCCCAGGAATGAATCCCGTGTTGCCAACTTCAGCCTCTACTTGTTTGCGTTGTGCATCTTTGCCCGCGAAGACCGGAGTGGTGTATCCTGGCAAGTCCTTTACGAGGTTGTCGCTACTAGCGTTGGTCAGGGGTGGTCGAGGCGGTATGTTAAGGGACATGGTGGCTGGGAGGGAGAGTGTGACTTGTCAGTCGGCGTCCGCTTTTTTATAGCATAACCCCGGATCTCGCAAAACAATTTACAGACGAAACACACAGACTGGCATCGGACTGGCAGCATACGGATCTTGTTGCTTGCAATTCTCTGGGGTCGCGCGTGTTGGTCACTTTTAGGCCACGAGTACCCTCAATTATGGCTTCTTCCCCGCACTCTGATGTGTAGATTCCGCCAACAAGTCGGCTCCACGTGGGCGCGTTCTGACGCCATTCTCTTGCAAAAAGTTGCGTGGCAAAAAGCAGAGGTTCTTTGGCCCGACTATCTCAGGCCATTGCCCGCGTTCCGAAGTAAACATAGCCTTTCTGAAATTGAATCCGTCGGACTCGGTAATTTACCGTCCATATGACGTTTGGTCAATCGCCCGGCTCTCCTCCCCAAAAGTTCCCACAAGGCTGCTGAACCTACCCGTTTCCAACAACATTTAATTCAAGCTTTCTCTCCCCGACGCTAAACTTCGTCTTGAAGGAAATGAGGCTTTCAGTACTCATGACCCAGGATGACGCAAAATACACGGCAACGTCTAGAACAGAGACTGAGACTCAGAAAGTTTCCGTTTGCTGGCCAAGATGTCCATGACATGATTCACAAACGATTTGGTGCCAGAGATCATGTTCTTCAACGACTTTGTGCGATCGAGAGGAGGCAAATAAGAGAGTCAACCAAAAGCTATGTCTATAGTATCGGCGCTGGAGGCACAAGACAAGCCAGAAAGTTCGCTGAGGTCTTGGGAGGGTCGTGATCAGTTTAGTGAGCGACGTTAAGTGAGCGACTCTGTCGGCAATGATCTTGTGCAACGATTGAATCACTAGAGAGAACTTCGGTGTGCATCGTGTGTGCAATTTGTGCCAGACGCTGACCAAACGCTGACATGGTGGAGGCAAAATCAAAGATATTTCGGCGCCGTCACATGCCTTAACTCTCCCACTACGCCACGTTGGCGGGCTCTACAAATCGACTAGCAGCCGGGTATTGCCTCCCTGAACGACCCGAGACCGGCTCTCCACGCATTGGGCTCCCGAGCAACCCTGTCTTAAAACAAGCAGGGCTAAAATCCCCTGCTGACCCTGCGGATGGCAAGCACTGACCTCGACACTGGCGTCCGGGTGGTCGTTCGGCCTAACCAGTCTTCTTATTTTGCGGGAGAGCCTTTCTCGGTGACGGTTACATTCACCAATACCCGCTCTTTAGATCAACCTTTCTCCCCCACTTCACAGAAGCAACAACATAAACGCAACGCTCATTCGATAAGCTCTGCGCCCATTGCTCGCCCTCCAACCTCGCCAGGTACACCACGAACACCTCGTACCGCTTTGCCTCCTCCACCTCCAACCATTCGTGATGCCCACCCCACTCGAAAAGGACTTATTGGACGGACATCCCAATCATCTCCCCTGCAAACCTCTCCACCGGACAGTCTACCTGCCCTGGTCGAGCAAAGACGCAAGAAAATGCTCGCCAAGTCCCTTTCCGTCAACATCGCACCGCTAGATCTCGATATCTTACCTGCTCGGCATTCGGAGAAATGTGCGTCGTTATTGTCTCCCAAAATGCACTGCTTAGGCTACCTGAAGCGCCAACATCTCCTCCTGCTCAATCTTCTCAAATTCCCGTTGCAATTTCTCGGAGGGCTGATCTTGCATTGGCGGCGTCTCATCCACACGCTCGCAAACACTCTGTTCTCGATGGGTCGGCACCACAAGTTGAACTTGTCAACGGACCATCTCCGCTTAGCCCCAGTTCAAGTACTCCTTCGACAGCGTCATTCGCACTGGCGCTTGAATCCATAGCCGAATCGTCATCATCTCCCAATCATCACTCTGCTTACCCTCCAACTCCTGCAACCGTAGCGCCTTCGTCTCCTCGTAGAACTCACGCAAGCAGCCGCTCAGTATCGTTCCCACACAGTCCCAGCACCGGAATCGGCTTGGGTCATCCCGGTTCACATAAGTCGCCTATTTCTCCGCGGTCAGCAGAAGCATTCAACATTCAACCCAACTCAGAGCTAATACTCTATGCATACGTCGCCCTCTCGGGCCGTGCGGTTCTTTCACCTCTGGGAAGAAGCGAGCCAGCATTGCCTGCCCTTCGCAGTGCTTTGCTACGACCTAGGACGCATGGCGGCGGTAGCTTGACAATCCAAGCTTCTTCATCGGTTTCTCCATCTCCTGCGACAGTCACACGAAGACATCAACGCGCGTCGTCTTTTTCTTCTGGATTGCGTGCGCTTGGGGCGGGCATTGGCCTATTACGGAGCACTAGCTCTGACAGCGAAATATCCGGACCAGCCAATGGGAACGACGATTCCGATACACCTTTACCGACATTGGAGGTTCCGCCTGAGATGCTTGGTGTTGATGTTAGACTTGTGCCGGGGGAAGAACGAAGCTGTGAGTTCCCATGCTCTTTTTCTCCCTCACTCATTCGGTCCCGACAGTCACTTACACACTGCCCTTGCCGGGACATCTCCCGCCCACATTCCGGGGCCGGACAATCAAGTTCTCATACGAACTTGTCGTGGGGGTTTGCAGGGCATCTGGTAGCCGCGATAATGCCAGCGTGACGCGAATAATGAAGGTCCCGATACGGATATACAACAACGTGTCCAGTGAGTAACGAGCTCTGTCTTATGGCATTGATTCTGACTACTGTAGTCAACCGCCCTCCAAGGCCATACGACCTTCTGTGGCCTGTCGCACGGAGGATAACGGATGAGCTGCCCAAGCCTATAGTCGCTGAAAACATGAACCGTTCGCCATTGAGATCGTCTGCGACTGTGGCCGACCTTGAACAATATGTCAATGGATTACGGAGGGAAGTGGATTTGGATGATGATGTTGGGGCGCCTGGTGCCATCTCAGGAGGTGTGTTAACTGGGTGTCGGGAAGCAGTAGAGGTATTGACACGCAATCTGAAGAAGGGTGCGCCAGAATGTTTTGCTCGTCTCTCCTTTTAATTTCCCTTTAGTGTCCTATGACATAACCAAAGACGGGGTGACCGTTGCAGTATTAACATTCCCGAAAAGCGCGTTCCGACTGGGTGAAACGGTGAACGGAGTTGTAGAGATCAACTGGCGGGAAGGCCGAGGACGGGTGTTGCAGTTAACAGCGTTACTCGAGGCCCACGAATCGCTGCCGAGCTGTCTCGCGTCTCCTCCCAGCAATGCTGGCTCAGCCCGATATTTAAGACGTGTCCACGCTGAGCATCACGCGCGCTTTGTGCTGGGGACACTCCGACTTGGTTTCTCGCTTGACATTCCCAGCGATGGCAGTCCCGCATTTACGATCGTTTCCTCGGATTCTCCCGGAGGGCTGGAGTGGAAAGTGCGACTGTGTCTTCTCGTGGGTGTAGCGGACGAAGGGGCTGATGAAGGGACTGAAGGGGTGCGAATAAAAGGGCTCATACGTGACACGACTCTTGACGAAGGCAGGGGGGCCTGGGGCAGCGCATGGCGTGCGCCAGAAAAACTGGGTGTGCTACAACGACTGCCGTCAACGCCAATACCGCAGCCCGAGAAGTCCGCAGGCTGGACATCTTTCCTCGCCGCAAGCTTTCTCGGAGCCAGTGAGGGCGGCTATCACGACGGAGACGACTTTGGAGACGAGGAGGAGGAGGACTTTGACGGGATAAAGACACACTCGGCGGGCGGCGTCGGAGTTGGTGTACGATATGGCGGCAGGGAGGACGGCTGGACTGATGTAAGGGCCGAGATGGTCGAGTGTGTCGTCCCACTCAGAGTTTGGCCGGGGAACACAGCTTTCAAGCCCGGTGATGTAGTGTTTGATGTTTAGTTATTTCGCGATGAACGATAAACAATCAAGTCTACTGCCAGGCTTCAAGTCTGCTTATTTATGTTTCAAGCATACAATTAATATTGAGTACAATGGTGATGTATTAATGCAACTCTACCCTGATTAATGCAATATCTATGGTCCAATGTTTACTCTGTTTAGTCCATTTCAGAGTTGTCTAAACATGTTAGTAGGGTCTCTGGCAAGTTAAGAAATCTCACTAATATTGAGGATTATTGGTGACAGCAGCCCAAGCTGTGTCAGATCATAATCTTCCTCCGAATACTGCTGCTGATGTGCAGAAAATGTGTGAGAGGCCTTGCCCCACAACCCCAACCAGAGCCATTCCGCTCGGTCCCAATGAGCATTCATAACACTGCTGATTACCTTGGGACCACTCTCATGACGCAGTCGGACTAGGTTGCAGAAAGTGCTGAGCTGCTGTTGGTGCGCGGAAGTATCCCGGATTTGCTTCAGGCTTCCCTCTCGCACAATCTAATTATGAGTGAGCACTCGAATAATAGAAAAAGAAGAGGAGTGACCAGTTTGAACACATCCAACCTATCTTGCACCTCCGCACTGCCAAAGAGAATCGACAGCCCCACATCTGCTGGTTGGATAAAACTCGTGTTGGTTCCTTTATGATCGCAGGTGGGAGCAACAAATCGCTTGCAAGTTTTATGCATCCCTCGACAGTCTGGGGGACTTGATCTTGTTGCAAAATTCCACGAGTGATCAGTCCCGATGAATGGAGGAAGACAAGATTCGAATGGAATGTCGTTGGGTCTTTTGCCGCTGCCTGTATGATGCTCGCAACATTGAATGTTGTGAGCGCTGCTTTGACAACAAGCGGCTCTGCGATTGAGACGACGATATCAGCCAACGTCGCAATCTTTGAGGTCAACGTCGCGATCTCCGTGTTCAATGTTGCAATGTGTTGGTCTCTTCTCGCATCGGCAGTAAGCATGTCTTCAATCATCATGGCCAGAGCCTCAAGCTTTTTACTGATTTCGGTGTCGGCTATGGTGAGAGCATCAAGCCTTTTGTTGGTAATGGCGAGCTTTTCCTCGAGTCCCAAACGCTGATCGCTTTCGTGTGTGGATTTTACCTGAATTTTGTTACATTCTTGTTCGCTGACGAGAACTGTACTTGACTCACCAGGTCAATCAACTCGGGAACTATCCATTTTCCAATCCTTCGACCGCGATGTCGCTCGTAGAACTCTGCGACCTTGCTCTCGATGCCTTGGGCGTGATTCTGACGTCTGAAAATTTGTCGTAAGTAAGCAACGGTTGTTAGTTAGGGGGGGCAAGTTGTACTGGATCTGGCGCGGAGCCGAAGAATATATTTGGCGACTCGATTGCTGAGGTACGAAACCTCTGAGGATGTAGAGTCTAGTGGTGGGGCCCCACATTTAGTCAATGGAGGTTTGGGAGAAGAGGGTTCATGAGGTGCACGTCCACGTGACATCATTCATGAAATTAATCCAAGTACAGAACGCGCTTAGAGCCTATGCAGCATATTCCACCGGGTCTATCCATTCTTTCAAGTTGTTCCCTTCCCTTCTCGCTAGCTAGCAGTCAAATCAAAACTTTGCTCCAATCGGCACTTCGAGCAAATTGTTTCCACGTTTGTGTCGGTGTCCCCAGACCTTCAGTACTTGCGCTCGGCTGTCCAGCATAGTCTATGAAATGAGAAGGCGCCTATATGCAACGAAAGAGGCATACATCCTATCTTATCGAAAAAAGTGAAGCTTTGCGCTAATTCAACGGCGATAGCCTCAGGCTGACCGGCACCGATCAACCTCTTCACCCATTCTTCCGTCGTGTAGACAACAGTCTTGCCGGTGACTGGTCAGAATCAGATTCGATGTCCAAGAAATCAAACTCAGGGAGTACCTTCGGACAACTGCTCAGCAATGGAGGTAGGAGAGAATCTTCGCTGACGGTGTTGATATCTTGTCCATCTGGGAACAGCTCTGATTTGATTGCTTTGAGAACGAAAAGGCCATAATCCTTCACGATGTCGATGAGAGGAATTTTACTCCCGGGACCCATGTTCCAGGCAATTTCGAATGTGCCGTCAGGTCGCTTCGAAATCAACCCAAAAGGACCAAAGAAGTTCTGAGCGTATAAGCCAGCTGGGAAGTTGACGAAGGGCACGCCCGACTGGCGGCCATACTCGGTCACAAGAGCTGTGCCATCGGTACTTTCCGTTGCTGGCCTTGGAAACAGAGGGGAGAGGAGGGGAGGCCAGACCAAACGATGCCCCGAGCTTCGGCAGCTTTAGCAGCGTCGATAAGGAGCTTGCCTTCGGCAACTTCCTGAAACATCGTTGAGCGAACAGTTGTAAACCTTGACATACCCTCTCCATGTTGAGATGTTCCCAGAAGTTAGTGACCAGCTGATGCATATTAGACACATCTGCGAGGTGACAGGACCACATACAAAGGCGTAGTTTGTCCCAACAAAGGCCTTGAAAACTTGGTCCTTGTTCTCGACCGTCAGATCAACTTGTACAACCTCAACTCCTTTGGTTTTTAGGACTTCCGCCGCTGGTTTGGTAGCATTGCGTGTGAACGCTCGGATATGGTAGGCAAGTTTGGGTTCCGTCAAAGCATTGACAACACTGCCGCCTTTCATGAAGGCCAGTTGCACCAACGACAGCGATGAGTGGGGCAGAGTCGAGTCGTTGGTAATCGTCGTGACGTTGAGGTGCTCAGTCATAGTCATACTCGGGATACATATGCCGATGATGTGGGATTCGCATCTTGGTTTGTGAGCTGAGGTTTGCACAGTTCATTGTGAGGCCCCGTGAAGCTCCACCAAAGGGTTGTCCAAAAAAAAATCCGGATTTGGGCCTCAAAAACCCAAAATTTCTGGCCTCAAAAACCCATTTTCGGACAAGGTTCATTAGATGTCACGCGTGACATTCGCCAAAAACAGGCAGCTTTGCTGGTCTGTCAAGGAAATTTTGCTCAAACGCTGAGCTATTTGGTCGAATCGTTGAGTATTAATATTTACACCAATAGCGGCTATATGCGACCGTACCTGCACTTCACTTGAGTCTTGGCGGCAACCGTCGCAATCCAAGCCCTCAAATACCCATATTTTGGACAAGGCTGGCGGATTTTCGGCCTGAAAAACCCAAATTTTGGACAAGGAAATTGTCATTTTGGGGCCTCAAAAACCCAAATTTTCGGACAACCCTTTGGTGGAGCTTCACGGGGCCTTCATTGTGTATGGAGGGAATGTGGTCGGCCTCTGACGGTTTAGTTCAGAGCCTCAGCAGCGTAATCACCTTAAACCTTGGATCAACAATATCGGGCGTTGGCCATGGCGAGGAATTCAGTCTCGACAAATGTCGACGCCGGAAGTCGGGAATTGTGGCTAGTTACCCATGCTGGTCTGTTGGCAGGCTCATACCCAGCCCTCGTTGCAGAGCTAATCCGAGAGGCGGTATTTCAATCTAAAATAGTATCAGTTTTAGGGTAAAATCAAAATGTGTGACAAATGTGACGGTTTTGGGGGGGTTGCGCAGGACCCCTGATTATGCCCCCAAGAGGTAGGATACCAAAATCCGGACAGATTTTGGAAAATTTCAACCTAGGTTTGACCAGAATCCGGACAAAAATCGGGTTGGAGCCAAAAAAGTTAGAACCAAAGTCCGGACAAGAGATTTTACCCTTAGACAGGTCGGAACCAAGTCCGGACAAATTTTCCTCAGTTGGGTCAGTTTGGTGGGCAATTCACATTGAAATAGACCACATTTAAGAAAAAATCAGGTGGCACATAACGGCTATCAGAGCCTGAAAAACTGTTCTTTAGCTATAATTCCACCTTTTCTCGGCTAACTTTCGCTAATTTAGCGCTTTTTGTCAAGGTCGGATGCGAATCCGGACAAATTTTGCACCTTCGGGGTAGGTCGGATCAAAATCCGGACAAAACAATATGCGTTTGGCGTCCAAAAAACGCGGACAAATTTTTCATTTCACCAATTTCAGAATCCTACCTCTTGGGGGATAATCAGGGGTCCTGGTTGCGCTCTGCAAGAGGGCTGGAGCAGGTAGCCCGGACCGAGCACCGAAGCGGTGCATTTATCCCCGGATGCTCCTGTGACGCAGACGCCGACGACGACCGCCATGGCTCTTGACGCCCGGGCTGCTCTCGGTGTACTTGACGCGCTGCACGATGCTCTTGCCCGCGCCAACCTCTCCCTTGCCCAATTCACGGGCTTCATTCTGGAGAATGCCCCCGCGCTTGTCATTGACTCTCGAGTCCCGCCACTCGTAGAGAGTCTGTATGCAGTCCCGGCCCAACTGCTCGCTGCAACTCACACCCACGGCGATACCCTTCACTGGGTCATGGCCACGACCTCTCAGATCTTCTCCGCCGAGCTCGACACACTCATTCGTGACCCAGAGATGCGATTCAATGCATCGCATGCGCTTATCAAGCAGCTCGAGGAGATTGAGATCGACGCGATCGGGAGCCGGATGGAGGGCAAGGCGCCGCACTTGTGGAGTGCTGTTGGGATGCTGCTGGAGACACCTGCAGAGGTGTTGGCTCTCCGTGCGCGCAAGACTGCGGAGAAACGAGAAAGAGCGGGGACGTGCAGACATCACCTCCGCGCGGCACGCGATACTGCACGACAATCTCAATATTCGGAATGTCAAGGCCCTGTATGAGTTGTGTTAGAGCGGCTGAATATCGAGCTGGGTCAACGCACCATCCCAAACGCATCCGTAACAGCCATTCCCCAGATGGCACCAGTCTGGAAGCCCTCGAATTTTTCCGAGCGGTAGTGCACCGTCATTGTCGAATGGAAGTATCGCACTTTGTTACCCAAGTTTGGCGGTAAACGCGTCCGCAGGAACTCGACGGCCTCCTCACAATCTGCAGTGCTGTCGAAGAAAACAAGAAATTTTGGCGGGGGTTTGTCGGCCGTTGTGCCATCCGGGATGAGTAACGCGAGGTCCCTGAAGCTACCGACCCCGTATCGCATGCCACGGACAACGATGTGGATGTTTGGGCGAGCAGAGGGTCGAATGTGGTATGCTGTCCCGTCCGCGGGACGCAGGCGCAGTATCTGCTTGATGTCGTCAAGCATGTACGATGGCAACGTCGCGGATGTGACATAGAAATGCACGGTGGGAGGGAGGAGGTGTCGAATATTGCCAACATTGAGGTACTGGGGGCGAAAGGACTTGCCCCAGGCGGCGATGCAATGCGCCTCGTCAAAGACGATGTACAAGAGCCGATCCTTGATCTTCTGGCTCTTCCAGAGCTCACGGAACGCGTCGGACTCCATAATCTCTGGACTGGCAGTGACGACACGGTATTCGCCACGAATAATTGCCTAGAAACACGCGTCAGCTCTGCACAAACAAGAGGAGCACACAACACACTTTGTAAAGCTCGGGTGAATTGTTCTCAGCGTGCAGGTTCACGCACTTTATGCCCCGCTTCCCCAGGTCCTCCTCCATCTGTTTCCCAATCATAATCAGCGGTGTTACTCCAAAAATCATCTTGTCCTCCCCATCCTCGAGCGCCATAAGCAGCCGCAAGAGAAACGAGATGGTCTTGCCCGATCCCGTTGGCGCAATATTGACGACGTCCTTCCCCGCCTGCAGCGACAGCGCGGGTTTGATTTGGCTGACGCAGAGACGCTTTTCGAACGTCTTCTGGCCCAGGGCACGGGCTTCCTCGATGGTCCATGTGTGGGTGGGTTTGGGCGGCGGCGGAGTCGGTTTGGGGGGCAGTGGGGATAGACTAGGGCACGGGGCAGTGTGCTCGGAGGGTGCAGAGACTGGAGTGGTGGGTTCAGACGCATTGACGGACGCGGGAGACTCAGTGAATGGGTGGGTGGACAGGTTTGTTAATGGTGCTTCTGTGGTGACAGATGCCGTGCTGCCGCTCACAGCATCCATGCCGGGGGGTGTCGAGATGGCGATTAATAAGATATTACAGTAGAGAGTGGGCTGGGAGGGAATGTAAACGAGCGGACGACGCGGTACTCGACGCGCGTCAATTTGGTCGACCGGCGAGAGCAACCGGGGATAACTGCACTGCTTCGGTGCTCGGTCCGGGTTACTTGCGCCAGCCGTCTCACAGCGCGCAACCCAAATTCCCCCGTCACTCTTGTCACAGCTCGGCGGTATTCGGTATTATATCAAGTTTTCGGATTTAGCTTGTAAATACATCTAGGACTAGCGCTGTGACGACGGCTGGGTATGAGCCTGGTCTGTTGGGCCTTTTTAGGCCTTTTGGGCCGTGACTCGTTCCCGAGTCACGTACTTACTCACAAGTTGCTCACAACAACTAGTATGATTGGAGGTAAGCCGACAAGCGGCGTAGCACAAACTGATTGTACACTCAAGTCAAACTCAGAGGTTTTGGAGAACAACCTCAAGGCTGCAAGCCCACTTTGAGCCCACTTGCTCACTAATTTTCCAAAGACAAAAATTACAAATTTCTAGAATTGTTGACCAGGCTTGGGCTGCCTAAATACTCTGAATCAGATGTAGATAGCACAGGTTTTAACCCTGACTTCAAGATAGACTAGGTATATTTTATCTACCTAGCATAAATCAATCATGGAATAGAGATTATCAGCAGCCGCAAAAAATGGCCTTCAGAAATTTTGAGCTGACCTCTGAATTTCAGAAATCATTTTTGAGGATGCCAAGGCTTTTCTGTAAAAAGATTGTGAGTTTTCTAGCTGTACAGCTATAACTGGGTGGTGCAAGCCATTCATTTTCACTGCAAAATATTTGAACCTGTTCTCAAATTTGCCTCATCAGTAGATCAATCTCCCTCAAATATTGTAGAAAACCAAGTGCTGATAATCTCTAATGTACATACTCCTGGTACTACAGCATTATCGCCAGAAAAGAGGCCGGCCCGACATATCCGGTTTGACGTGAGAGCCATCAGTGTTACAGGGGTCGTGACAATCATTCTCATTCTCGACGGTCCGAGACCGTCGCTTGATCTGGTGATGGGACATGAGACATGGGACATGTCGCATGTACACACCATGGTATGCACAGGGTGAAATATGAGATTTGCATGGAGGCAGACTGGGGTTTTGCATGGGGGGTAGTTAAAATATGCATAGGTGGAAGGGTATTGCTACCTTGGGAGAATAATATAAATGCCCAGGGGGTTAAGACATACATCCCTGGGAGAATATGGAGCAACCTCAAGGCACATTCAATACAATGCATAGGGCATTTGTGTAGTTTCCCACAGGTGTCTACAACTCACTGCCCTAGCTGGCTAAAAACAGGAATGCTGTCAAACTATTATATCTATGTTCTATAATATATATATATATATATAATTCTTTCTTGAATCAACAGAGAGAAAATTGCTTTGATAATTTGAGAAAAAACAGTCAAAACTGTAATTAAATTAAATTAGTGTGAGTATTGGTTTGATTATACATACTGTGGGAAACAGATAAATTATTCTGAGACTATCTTGGCAGCCATAAGATTAAAATATGACCACTATATATCTATATGGTGAATATAATTATTCTGCTTCTTGGGCTAGTGGTAGTTACCTTCTGCTGAGCTTTGATTGTGTGCTAGACTTAAATTATTCTTCTTTGGTCTATTAATATATTTTTGTGTATCCAGCATTATCAGTTCTACTTCTAATTTATAGTCCTGAGTTGCATAGTGTCTCAAAGACTGTTGACAATATCACAATAGATAAAACTTCTTATCTTTATCTAGTTACTCTCAGGTATACACTACGGGCATTAATGTATTTTCCGCCCCAGAAAATGCACAGAAAATTTGAAATTTTCTGAAGATCTTCTGAAGATTTTCCGAGGATTTTCTGTCACGGAAAATTTGGAATTTTCCATCAATCTTCTGAGAATCTTCTGGAAATCTTCCGGGTCAGAAGATTTCCAATATTCTGTCACAGAAAGTTTTCAGAAAATGTAGCACTCGGATCTGTGATCCGGCCAATGACATTTTTTTCCGGCATACCAATTGGCTATCAAGGCAATCAGTCAGGTCACTCTCCCTCTTAGCCACTAACCCAGAGGCTCGCGGCTCTTCTGCGATATGTTCTGTCTACCTCGCTCTCTACCATCAAATCCAAAAACAACTTGAGCTACACAAAAGCTGTTATCGATACAATGACTGGAGTGCGCCTCAAGAATAGCTACTGGCAGCAGTACACTCAGTAGTCGGACGTGATGGTTCTCCTACTCCTGCCCCTGCATAAACCTATAGTAGTGACAGCCCTCAAGGAAACTTGACATTCGTCGGAGAGATTGAGCCTCACATTCGACCCACACACTCGTCAATCGCAAACGCAGCCCAATTTCTCCCTGATGTCTTCCACTCCCCCGTCCTCATTCCCCGCAACTCGTGAAATAGAACACAAACCCTCATATGACACGCAAGTTGGTACCTTCGAATCTGAGCCAGCTCTCAACCAAATAATCGGGCTGTTGCGGACCCAAAGGATGTTTTGCGGTACCCAGCGGAGTCTTCTGGTGCCGAAGAAATTACCATGTCATTTCTGCGGAGTATGCACTTTCGAGTCCAAATAAAGATTGTTATTTGAGCTGCAGCGGGAAGAAGCTTCACCAGCATACGATCCAGAGAGGCATTCGTTGTTAGAATGAAAGGAAGCACAACAAAGACGAGGTATTTATTCCCCATAGCATACACCGCGGTTGGTGTCCGCGCGCCGTGGACGGTTGCGCTCAGGAACAACCATCGTCTGGCTGAAAAAGGAACTCAGTTTCTTCTTCTCTTCATCCATGTCCACCGCGCGGTCATCGACATGCAGCGCGCAGCATGCGGATGACCTCTCACCGTCGCACTGCCCTTAGACGAGCTCATGAATGGGCGCTGCCACAGCCGTGGCACCTCTGCGAAGGACGACGACGGGAGGCGGGTCGGTGGGGCTGGCTGGGGGAAGGGATGTGTCGGAGGGTGCTGCACTGGAGCGCATGGGACGCTATCTTGAGCTGTTTGTGCTCCTTACTAGTAACAGTGTGTTGTCCGCTTACTCACTCACTCAAAAAGCAGCAGATATCCCCTCCGCCTTCGGCCTCACAAATGCCCGATGCAGGTGATGCAACCATGCAAAGGCGGCCTGGGCCTCCATCGTTTTGGCTTGGATGACCACGACTACAAGACCAGCACGTTTGGCGCAAGAGGTTTATACACCTTCAACGAGGGCGTACGCTTTGGTCCGACTCTCCACACCCATTTCGAGGGTACAAAGTGCAACGACAATTCATCTCCCGCATATGCTGTCCGGCCCTTCAACGGCTCCGTTCGCGATCTCATCGTCCCTTTCCTCAGCACCTTCACACTGTCCGCATCTTGTGCCCCGTTTTCCCTACTGGAGCTCAACATGAGTTCAGGCGGGACCATGGCCATTCGGGGGGGACAATGTCGGCGGTTATCGCTGTCGATTTGGACCTGATGTCGCGCAACTTGAAGATGGCGAGAACCCATATTCGCTGCCACAGCAGTCTCGGCCGCTTTGCTCTCAACCAAAACCATTTCCGAACAACATTTGCGGCCATTGATCATGCTCGGTTTGCTTTGCGCGAAAAGCGACCACACAACGAGTTCGGAGTCGCTCGTTGGCTCGATTGGAAGGTGGTCATCATCATGAACCGGCTCGACCGCTATGACCGGCTCGGGCATATGCGCGACATGGTGGCGCGGTGCGGGCGGCAGCCACTCTGACCTGGCTGCGCTTATTGTGGGCCAGTTTGCGCATGTGTTCCCCGCGCCGGATACCCCCCGTCACCCAGACGACGGTCGAGGGCATTGCCGGCCTTTCGCGGCTGATCGCGAAGGGGTGTCTTCCCCACGGGCAAGCACAACGAATCCTATGTCGAACTGGGGGATGCGATGTGGGCCCTCAAGTTTGGCCGCCGGTTGACATATGCTATGCGCTCTTTGGAGTCGTGTTGGGTGCCTGCCACCCGCGACACCGCGTTGATGCTCTCAAACTATTACTTTGGCCGGCTGGCTCTCAGATTCGTGGGCCTGCGAGGGAGGGAAATATTCATCGAGGCCTTGCGTGCAGGATATCTCCATGTCATCCTCAGTCGCGCGCGGCGGACAATGGGCCCCGGCAATTATGCTGCGAAACCAGTTGCAGCAGGTACTTCCGCAACTCACCGTGTACCGCTCTGTGGTAAAGGTGTTGCGTACGGCGTCGGGGGAGATAATCGAGCGCGAGCGGGGCGAGAAGGGCACCTGGACGGAGGACATGCGGGTTGCGTGGACTGGGTTTGGCGCGATAGCTACCCAGAGGAAAGACTTCCTCGACAGGTACGAGGGGATGAACGAAAAGCGATTGAAGATGTGTTGCAACACTGCGGTATGTTTGTTTGAGTTTTGTAGCCATCTAATTGGTAAGCTTCTGCAGTGTGGAAAATTTGTTGATCGAGCGTCGATGGGCAGCTGTGGAGGGTGCCGTTCAGCTGTCTACTGCTCCCGGCGAATGCCAGCGTGGCGACTGGCTCACCCACAAAGCCATTTGTCTCTCAAAAGCCGCACCACCGCCTAGCCTGCTGGACCTCACACGGAATGACCGCTCCTTCCTCAAGTCCCTCCTCAACTACGAATACAGGGTGAACCAACAGCAAATCGCGATAGATCTCCTCGCATATTTCTACACTCATCCGGCCCCCACCTCCCTCCCATGTACACTGTTCGACCTTTCTATTGGCTGGTTTCAGATCCGCGTCGCAACCACGCCACCCACCGGCGCGCTGGGCCCGGACGACGGAGCTGCACAGGCGCTGCGTAGGTGGTCGAGCAGTTGGGGAAGAGAGTCGCGTTAGGAGTGTGTGGTCGCGTTAGGAGTGTGTAGTCGCCACCCATCTCCGCTTCCTTCATGCACACACAATGCCCGCAACCGTCAAGACCAACTCAATACGGACAGAGCTCAGCAATGCTATCTCCTGCAATGCACGACCAACGGGGTTGATAGTGATGAATGCCAAGCTTGCTTCAACGACGCGGAAGTTGGAACACGATGAGCGTGAAGTCTGTCAAAACTTCAAAACTTGAAGGTGAGCGGGTTGCGTAAATTCAAGTACACTAGAGAAGGTATGTCTGCAGAGCTTGGCTCAGCCGCAAGTGCTGATTCCCTCCTCACAGCTTCGCATGATGCAAATCAAGATATGTTCCTCTCCTCAGCAGCGAGAACGATTTCGCGTCATTCAATAAGAGGTGTACGGAAATCAGCGCCATATCCTCGTGGATGGGAAGCAGGGCCGTCCGGTTGCATCGCTCATGCTGATTCCAGATGTCAAGCATCGCTGGAACTATGCACAGCGCAGCATTGAACGTAGCCAGTTCCACAAAAAGGTATATCTTTGTGGTTTTTCTCGGGAGCGGAATGCACTTGTCGCTAAAAGGCCGAGGAAAAGTGGTTGTTTGAGAGGCCAGACAGAGCTCCACCCACTCAGACTAGAGCCGCAGCAGTGGGAAATGCTTGACGGCTTGAACACAGTGCTCGGGGTCAGTCCAACAATCTGCAGAGAATGCTGCTCAATTAAGGATGAGTTTCCTTCAAAACGACAGCATAACATACCGCCCAGTTAACAGTTGCCCTGAAAACACTCGTAGCGCGGCAGGCGGTAGTCTTGAGTTGCGCGTGCACGAGTAAAGGCCAAGCCGGCCGGGTGTGACCCATGCTTTGTGAGCTTTCGCTGGCTGTTGAGGGAGCCAGGCACCATTCGCAAGCTGAATGAATGGTGAGTTTCCTCATCAAAATTGGAAAAGCTGCAAAATAATAACATACCTTATAGGGTTTGTGCTGGCCTGGCCGGCGTCGCCCAGCAGTTAGGCCCGGGTCTTGGTGTTGGCCGTTTCTTGATTCGCAGGGCTGAGTTTGAGCCAACAAGTGCTGTCGAGTTCAGGCCGCCGGCAAGGTTTGGGCATTCTGAGAAGCAGTGTCGATTGCTCGGCCGACTTTGACTCGAGTAAAAGCGGCACTTGCGAGTCGCAAGAGTTGCGACCTAGGAGACTGATTGAAAAAGAGAGAGCGATGTGACGGCACGCACTGTTTGCCTCCGCTCTCACTCTTCTTCAGCTTACTAGTCTTGTCTCATGTGGTCAATCTTGTTCACCCACTGAGTGGCGGCACCGTCAAATGCGAGCGCGTGTTAGTGATGCACCCAAGGAAATGCAAGCCGTTGACCCCGCCAGGATCAAACTACAACGGCGCACTCAGGCTGGCATGACAGTCCCGTCAGCCGCAAACCCTTGAACAATGCACACGCACAAATTTGAAAACTCAATTCTCTCTTGCTCTTCCGGGCCCCGGCACGGCCCGGGCGGCACCCATCGAAGAAGACGACCGTGAGGTTGACTCTGGATTCTGGAAGTATTGTGAGTCGTCTCGTTCTTTGCCAGTCAGCGTTAGCGGACTAACTTTGGACTGACTAGTCTGAGAACCCTGCTCGAAATCACCAGCCCGCACGCACCACTAGCAGGGGCCAAGTCTGCACAGATAGTAAGTAAGTAGATGAGCAGCTTGAAACTGTACCGCTGCAGCGATAATTCACCTCGCGCATACCAAAGTGTCAACTTGCTTTGCAGGCCTGTCTTATCACAAGCTGTTGCGGCGGAAACATGTATGTGACAGTGTTACACTGTCTTGGAACACTGATTATATAAGGAAGTAGGGACTCCGGCCGACACCGGGCAACCGGGCGGACGGCGGACCCTGGCAAGGTCTGAGCGAGCGGGACGGCCAGCACAACCATCGAGATCTGGCGCCGTTTTCATCCCCCTGCCCCAAGCCATTTACCAGTGCTCTTCACGTCTTCAACTTCCCTAACGATCAGCTACATATCATCAGCTGTCACGTCACTTGGCGCCAGTCTCCTTCGCTCGTCTCGAAAGCCGCCCGCCACAAACTCCTCCATGGCGCGGGCGAGCAGCTCTGCGGGACACTGCCGGCGAGCAGAAGCATCACGACATCGCACGCGTGGGGCAGGTGGAGGTCATAGGTGCTGCGAGGAGGGATATGGCTGTGCGTCCAGTGGTGCGAACATCACTTGGACAGATAAGCGCTAATAGCGCCTATAGCAGTGCTATTATTGCGCTGTTGTCACTGATCATCTGGAGGAGCTCCAGCGGAAATGTATTCATCACGATCGCCGGCCGTTGACGAAAGCTGTCCCTAAAACCGATGAACCAACTGTAGAGGGCGATGAAAAGGTGAAGACCGAGGGCGGAGAAGACGTAACCATGGACGACAAGGAGAAGGAAAAGGAGACGGAGACTAAGAATAGCAAAGATGGGAGACGTACTGGTGGGTTCATCCCTTCTCATTACGCGTTTGCTTATGAACATCTGCCTCTTTTCAAGACGCCCGCTGGCTTGATTGGCTCGATAACAAATTGATGCTGCTACTTGATCGCGAGAAGGTTGACGCACGTCTATATAGCGGGAAGGACTACGACCAGTATGTTAGCACGTATTGTGTGCTACAAATTGCTTATGTCCTTGTTCAGAGAGCTCGCCAAGGCTGTGGAACCATTTGTAAAGCTGGAAGATGAGGGCAAGTTCCGCTGCAAAACATGTCAGAAACTCTTCAAAGCAACCTCGTTTGTGGAGAAGCATGTCGCAAATAAGCATCCCGAACATGTTCGAGTGCTTGACGAGGTTTGTTCAGGTGACTCTCCCCAAGTTTAACTTGACTCAAGAGAGAATCTAGTTGCCATTCTTTAACAACTTTGCTCTTGATCCACATCATATCCAACCTTTCGCTCATCCGCCGACCAATTCTGGAAATGGGCAGGCCGCACCGCCCCAAGCATTTGGGTCCCACCGCCACAACATGGCGAATACCGACCTTATGGCCCTCCCTTGTCTTACCCACCTCAGAGTTGGGATGGAAGAGGTCGTGATTCTCATTCTTCCAATGGTCGACGTTTGAGTGATCATGATAGACTGGGAGGGTTCGCTGAGCTGCCTGCCAAGCCTGCTGGACTTGATACGGCATTATCTAGTGAAAGTGGCAGAGAGCATCACCGAGAGCGAAGAAATCGAGGTAGAGACGGTGGGCCCCCACCTGATGCAAAAGAAGACCCTCGCGCAGCATCTGGAATAAGGGTTAGCTACCACGATATGGATTTGGTTGCGGAGGGCGATGTCGAATTAACGTACTAAACTTGTATCAAGTCACATGTGAAGCACAGACTCAAATGACGACTGTCGAGGACCGCATAAAGGACCCTTCGTCTTCGTTTTCCTTCAAGCGGACGGGGACTGGCAGGCCTGGTACCCCTCCTCCAGTTGAGGAAGTTGAGTCAGACACGATGTCTGAGGCTGAAGACAGAAACGACACACCTACAAACCAAACCCATCCCCGTTTCTCCCGCGCATTTTCCGTTCCACAGCTCAATCGCTTGACGAACCCACATCGCCCACTAGGCCCTCACAAGGTCAATTCAGACCCAGACACCTTCAGCGCGGCAATAGCGGACCAACTGTATGAGCTTTCACTCGAGCTCACGGACATGGTCCAAATGGCGATCCAAACGCATTATCCAAATATCGCCCCCTCAAATACTAGAGCCGACAAAGGAGCAATTCTCAGCTTGCACACTGTCGGTACCAACCCCATCCATGTCAGCCTTGTTTACCGCGATGCGCAACTTAAATTATTTCTTGGCCCATATGTCAGAGTTTGGGAAGGAGCCTAGCAAAGACTTGACGCTACCGTCGATGTTCGAGCGCTATAGGGGAGCTGCTGCAAAGTGTTGGTGATGTGATGGGTGGAGCAGCGGCAGAAGCTGGTATCGACTTGGTGCTTTATCATGGCGACCTCAGTCTCAAATATGCGTGGGTCAGTGGTTCAGAGAGTGGCTTGACTGTTTCCCTTTCGCATGTGCGTGCTTGTTTTCTGTTTCTCTCTGAGCTCAGACCGACACTATTGCCTAGGTTCTCTGCCAAATAATAGCTGTCGCCTGTCCAGGGGATTCCATCGAAGTCGGGCTCTTCATTGGATTTGCTACCACCCATGGCCAGGACATCACGTACTTCCAGACACCATTGACGCGATTACGTCGTCACCGACATCAGAAGACGGACCAATAGAGTGCACCATCCAAATTGCTCATAATAATAATTACGGGGAGTCGCGGCCAAACCCTCATTTCTCCAGCCTCGTCCTGCGTCGCCTGCTTCGACAAATCGGCGGCTCGCTCAAGAGCGATCTCCCATCCTCAACAAGTGCTCGAACTTGCGAATTGACACTGACTCTAGATCGCGCCCCGGCAGATGCAGTCAGCCCAACAACTTCCACCGACTTTGCAGAACCTACGACAGAAGAGCTTTCTCTTTTTGCTGATAAACTGAAAGGCGCCAAAGTTGCTTTGTATGCCTCTTCAAAAAGCTCATTTACGCAACATGTAACACGGTACCTTGCCGACTGGGGCATGGATGTTAGCCACATGTCCAGAGATGGAGAGGTTGACGAACAGCCACCCGCAGCTCCAGAAGAGCCCCCAGATCCAACCTATGGCTCGTGCTCACAGTATGTTTTCTGTCCTTTTCCCGTTCAAGTTGTCGAGTGAATAATGGTGTCAAATTAGGCATGGTGCTTGCTCCGTGGGACGCCTTGGGCGGAGGAAGGCTGAGAACTGACGCGCAGGACCAAGTGCGTCGGAATACTGGTGCGAAAGGCCGCATGACTCAGATGGGCGGATTTGACTGGGAGCGCAACGAAAACGAGGTCAAAATATCTCGGGCACTCGAGAAGGTTGCTGAAGAAGTCGGGCGCAAAGTCTATTCAAGCTGGTATGTGGCTCCACGCTCGAAACCGAGCTCGCTCAATAGCCTACAGTCGCCATCGCCTACGTTATGCAAAAGACGCCTTACTGTTTCCCTATCATCGGCGGAATAAGCTTCTGCTTTTCTGCTTGATGACTCTCTGGCCTCACGCCTTCCACCCAGCAATGCGGGAGTCTACGTATAGGCCAACCGACACACACCAAGTCCCAATCTAAGCGCGCAGTGTTATAAGACGAGACGGCGTAAGAGGGTTTATTGTCGTCTATTGTCTGCTATGGCTTATTCTAACCAGCCTCCCTGTAAACCGTCATCGTCAACGTCTTCCGCTGGGTCAGAACAACTCTCCACGCGCCCTTACAACCCATACACGGCGGCATTCTTCGCTGCTGTCAACCGTAGCTCTCTCTCGAGCCGACGAGATGTCGGTATGTGATTTTTTGATGTCCTCAATCTTTGCTCACCTCCATGCAGGTTTGGAATTGTTGTGTCGCACCACCTACTACCCATGTATCTGGTCAAAGAACGATGGTTGTCTTCCGGAAACCCGCAAAGACAACATTCACGACCTTTACCAATGGGCATCATCCGTCACCACTCCCAGCCTGATAGCCTGCGTTTATGGGCCCCTGGGCGTTGGCAAATCGACAGTTCTTTGAAGCGTACAAAGTCGGCTCTATGACTCGGGAAACCTGGGGGGGACTTTCTCCTTCCAACGCGACAACGTGAAGAACGAATCCGTTATGCGCACATTGGCGCATCAACTCGCCCGAAATTTACCCAATCTCCATCCAATCATTTCGAGGGTTGTGCGGAAATCGCCATGTGTTCTGGAACAGAGCCCAGCTATTCAACTCCAAAAACTTATAGTCGAGCCATGTCGCCAGGCAGCAACTCCGCTTCCGCTCGTCTTAGTTCTCGATAGCGTTGACGAATGCGAGGGGGAATTGTTGCGGGAGGTACTCCTGCTACTGGAAAGCGCCATTCAAGAATCTGCGTCACCTTTGCATATCATATTAGTCAGCCGAATCTGGTTGGACATCTTCCGAACTGCCTCTGTTTCATCTTTCAACGTGGCCAGGTCCTTTGAAGACGTGCGAACATATCTCAAGATCGAATGCACGAAGATTCGTCATGGCGCCAGCACGTGGTTAACTCCCAAAGCTCTCGACATTGCGGTGCGCGTCTCCTGCGGTTGTTTTCAAACTGCACGAACACTGGTCAATCTTCTCGGCGATCCGGAATTCTGTCCCACAGAGCGCATTGAGCAGCTTTCCAGGCTCCGCTGCCGCACCTCCTCAGGCTTTCTCACACAATCCGCTTGATAGTCTCTTCTTCATGATTCTGTCATCAATGGACCCCTTATACCGCCCCTCAATGCTAGCGTTCCTCCATATTATTGTAACCCCACAGTTTTCTCGGTTCTCTATTCGTCACATCGAACAACTCTTGGGCCTCGAACATGGACATCTATATGCACATGTTCTGCCCTCTATCCGGTCGCTATTCCTACCGTATTCCGCAGATGATTTCGGTTGCGCAGGCGTCGAAGTTTTCCACCCATCATTCCTTGACTTTCTCGTTGACCCAGCACGGTCCGAGATGTTTTGTGTGGCAACTCCAACGTTCGATATGGCACTTGTCGGATTATCAGAACAGTTGCTCAGAGCACTATCATATCAGAACAGTGACCCTAGTGCTTACATCAAATCTCAAGAGCATGTCGCATGGTCAGCCTTTTTATCCTTTCTCTTTGTAAAGTCCTGAATATTTGTCAAGGTCCCATCTAGACGCTATGGTCGACTATATCACCTCCGTCAGCCTCGATGCCATGTACAATCGCGAGATTGTTGGTCTGGTGGACCGCATAAACCCTGACTTTTTCTTTTCATTCTCTGTCAATATTTGACCACCTGGGAGAATTGATTATTCATTGGCTGAAGGTTGGTCCAGCTGCAAGCCTTTAATGTTTAATCATACTGTGTAGGCTATGGATCCCTTACCCGCAAACACCATTTCTCGCTGGGAAGACTATGAATACCTGTTGTTCTTCTATAGCGTCATCAATGACTTGGATCTGGATGATCTAGAGACCAACACCCATTGCGATCAGCTTGCAGAACTTCTAAGAGACGCAGCAAGTCCAGTTAATCATCCTAACATCAAGCGTCTGATCCGTGCATCTCTCGCCATCCCGGCGCTTACCCCCCTCACCCAATTTCGGCTTTTACTTGGTGCAGAACATGAACTCCTCTGCGACACGATCTGCTTGGTACTGAAGCCGCTGTTTGGGCGTGACACACAGGCAATAGAGCAGCTATGGGCAGTAAATGCCAGAGCGATGCATCGTCAGCGAGCTGCGACAACCAAGGAGTCTTGTGGTGCTGGTGATGTCTATCGGGACCTAGCCTGCAACAGTCTGCAGATAATTAGGCAAGTATACGATTGTCAGATACCGTTCGAGATGATGGGGTAAGTTTGTTGCAACTGACTGTGGCCTTGCAGACTGACGCAACACAGTTTTTGGCTGGAATGGGGTCGCTATGTCCGTGAATCGCCAACAGGGGGTGAGGCATGTGACGCCCGTACTTGGTGCTTTGGGCTCGTTTGTCCCTCACGAGTGCATGTCAGAGTGGGATTTCTGTCGAAAGCGAGATTCATGATGTGTTGAAATGGCTTGAGGTATTTTCTATCTTGGTCATATTCACATTCTTACCTGCAACAGAATGTCCCAAGTGTATCTCAAAGTGAGTTGCTACGTTGGGAAGGATATTTACCTGGAGGCACTGAGCAACAGCGATATGTTGCTTTTGAGTCCCGTTGGCAATTCCTGAGTCAACTTCAAAGTTGTGTCTCTATGCGGCGCCGCCAGCCGCGTCCAGCGGACACGACCGTGCGGAACAAGTCGACTCTACTGCGGCACCTTCAAGTGCCTTATCCCTTTGCTGCGTCGCCTGGGTTGGTACACAGGAAGAGGAATATTACTACCCTGACCCTCACGTGATCGCCGACAACCTTCTCTTTCGACTTGCCTTCGACGGCCATCTCGCAGCCAGAACGGACCAGTTCAACTAACAGCGCAAACAAGGGGACCATGAGCACCATTCAATATAGCTGCTATTACTACTGCTACTGAACCGGGTTGCGCCAGGCATTCAACTGCATCGCCAAACGGCCTGGGGCCTGCTGCCTGCAGCCGCTTAAATTCCCTCGAGCATCTTGGCGCCAACACCTGCCGCCCAGCAATGTGGACAAGACAGCGCCCCTGCAACGGATGCACAGCCTGAGGCTGGCGACCTTCTCGTGTTCGAAGCAGCGAGCGCGGCCTAGCCAACCCTGCGTTCTAGCACCAGCCATCGCCCGCCATAACCCATGCTTTCCTTGGCCCGGCCAGCAACACATGCAGCCTCGTTGCTGCACCGGTACTGCCAACATCGACCGCGGCCACGACCTGTGTCAGTACAGTAGCGCCACACGATCGTCCGAGATAGCGCCGGGACGCGGGCTGCTGCTGCTAGCGCAACAAGGTCACGGTGTCAAACTGTGAGTGGATTTTGTGTGAAGTCACAGAAATTGCTTGCTGCTCACCATTGTTACAGCTTGAATATCCAACAGCGACGGGGGGTTGAAGACGCGCACCCTTCCAGGTCGTCATCGAGTATGGCGGATGGGGCAGCAGCATGGTTCACGGTCGTCGCGGTAGAAGAGATAGCCGGCAGATAGGTGGTGGAGAGAAACATGGTCGACTTATTTAGTGGTGTGTGGTGTGTTGTTCGTGCTTAATCCCAGCCAGCCGCGCAAGACCATGACCTCAGCGGAGTATGCGCCCTTGCGCTGCCCGCCTAGCGCCGGCCCCGTCGCCCGCATCACGTGCTGTGCCCGATGCGAGCACCAAAAAAAAAGACGACTAACGACCAACGCTTAGCTACTGTCTACATACGCTGCTTGCTCCAACCCCGCCTACCGCCCCGCTTCACGCGCTCGAGACGCGCATCCAACTCCTTGCTATCGACGCCCGACACCGCTGTGAAACGGTGTCAGCAATGAGAAGCGTTGTCTAAGGGCGGAATACCGACCTTGCTATCGAGCGGCCCCCACTCGCGCAACCAGCGCCGACGTCCCCGAGGGCCGACATCATCGGGCCGCCCTCGACACTGCTGTGGAACGACATCAGCAACGAGAAACGGCCCACGGGATCAAAGGGCAGGAACACTGACCTTACCGTCGTCCCGCTCGTCATTCTTCACTGGCGCAACAAGCACCGACGTCTCCGACATCACCGGGCAACGCTGCGTTGGCGCCGCAACGGGGCAGGGATGTAGAAAAACTGCGGGTTATAACGGCGACTCGGACGCAGGCTACCCCAGCGACAACAGGGCTCCTCTCCACCGAAATGACCACCTTGCGCTCCCTTCTTTCCCCGAGCAACAACCGCCGACAGCCTCGATATCAACAGGCAAGGAGACCAGCCAGCGCTGGCGCAACGAGGAGGTCTCTGTAAAAACGGGGTTAGCATTGGGTATAACGATGACAAACAGTACCCCACCAAAGACGAGGGCCTCTCGACCAATGTGAACGCCTTCCGTGCTCCCATTCACGAGCGCGGCATTCAGCACAGGTTCGATGGCATCGACTTCGCCAAAACAAGGTCAAGGCTGCGTGGAGGTCAGTTTTGGCAAGCGAGAGACATACCTTAGGAGCGCTGTTGTGGCCAGCGGCCCAACCAGACCTGTCGATTGACTCCAGTTCGGCAACGTTGGGGAAGACAAGGAGAAAACATACCTCATGACAACACCGCCTTGCTCGCGTGCGCTCTGGCTCCAGCGCGCCAACCACCACAGCTCTTCGTTGCCATTTTGGAAGAAGAACTGTAAATCGAGGTAAGTATCATCAAATTGAGACAAGATAGTAGAAATACTGAACGAATCGTCTAAGATATGCCAATCCCAACGACAAAATGCCTTCCCGCGAGATCTCCTTCGTGTGTACCACAGAAGGCCCAGATTGACGAGGAAGAGAAGCTAGCTCTGTCGATTTGTCAGTGACGTCAAGATGGAAGCGAATGGGGAGCAAGAATACGAACGACAGCTGCTGCAAGACTACAACGATCTCGAGTCAACACCGTGACTGCTGAAGTCAAGTCAGCACTGACCGCCACGGGCAAGATAGCGACAACATGCGCCTTGACAAACAGGATACCAACGTTACCAACAACCCTCCTCGCGATGGCATCGTAATGGAGCAAGACTGGAAACGAGGTTAGTTTCAACAAGTAATAGCAAGATTGACTCAACGACCTTTCAAGTTGGGAACAACAACCTCGATCTCAAGCTCCCCCTCGAAGACTCCAACTGCCGAAAGACACACGAAAAGAGCAATGACCATGTCCCCAGCACCCAATGAACATTGAACCCGGAGAGTCTGGGAAATAGTCAGTGAGGACGAGGAGGCAGAGACAACGAGCCGCGGTATGAACTTGAAAAGCTCGAGGGAGGAGAAGTTCGTCTAGAACCAGGTGAGCAACAATGAATGAAGAGTCAGTGATGACTTACATGAACTCCATGCTGGCCAGCATATTGACGACGAGCGAACCTGGGGCCCTGCTTGATGCCATAGCCAGTGCGGATGGTGTATGGGGCGCAGACAATAATTGGTATGAAGTAGCATACATGTGTAAAGCCTTGTGTGCCATATACATATTATAGTGGTTGCAGGTCAATGTCATGTAATTGCAGCAAAATGGAGGATTGAAGTGGATTATAATTAAGTATGGTCCAACTGATTGCCTTGATAGCTAATTTGGATGCCGGAAAAAATGTTATCAGCCGGATCACAGATCCGAGGGCTACATTTTCTGAAAATTTTCTGTGACAGAAAATTAGAAATCTTCTAACTCGGAAAATTTCCAGAAGATTCTCAGAAGATTGATGGAAAATTTCAAATTTTCCGTGACAGAAAATCCTCGGAAAATCTTCAGAAGATCTTCAGAAAAATTCAAATTTTCTGTGCATTTTCTGGGGCGGAAAATACATTAATGCCCGTAGTGATATTAGATTGTTTTCTTCTAGGGTAGATGGTTACTTCTCCCCAGGTAGATAGTTATTATCCCTCCCAGGTAGGCAGTTGTTTCCCCCCAGGTATATAGTTATTCACACCCTAGGTAGATCATTATGTTTCCCCCAGGTAAATAGTTGTTTTCCCCCAGTTAGATTGTGATGTTGTCACCCAGGTAAATAGTCATTTTCCCCCTAGGTAGATAGTTATGTTTTCCTCTGGCTTGGATTCAGAGTCCTGGTGGAGAAGTGTAAAATCTGGGCAGAAGCGCTCGCTGCTAATACTGTCACAGATAAGATCTGGCTTGTCCAGTGCTGGTGTCAGGCCACCGAGTATCAGGGAAACCCTGGTTCGGCCTCCTTCAGACTGTCCGAGCGCATCCAAGGCACATCCGACCGGTGCCCCCTCGGACGCCTCCAACCTACCTTGACCCTCGTCCTCGGCCTCCTTCGCCTGCACAATCACCGATCCGTCAAGACCCTCCCAATGATCACCTTGGGACAGAGCCTGCGACACCGCTCAGGCCTTCTGCGCTCTACGTCGGCAGTTACGGACGACCAGTATATAGTTGGCGCCCTAGCAGGCGAACCCTTAGAGTTTCTTCTCTTTGGATCCTCCCCTGCTAGGTCGGTCCCTCCGTGTATTTCCGTAGCTTTTATTCACGCTTTGGATCCTCCCCCTGCTAGGCTTTTGTCGGAGTCTCCAGGGTTGCCCTTACAGAAGGACAAGAGAAGAGAGAAAAGGATTGGAGTTGTTCCGCACAGAGGAGGAGTGCAAGTAACATTTATAATCAAGCTAAAGTACCGTAGCTACTTTAGCTGTTTAAATACCAATAGTAAGTAGAAAGGGAAGACCATAAGTAAGTACAAGGTACAGAGTGCACATGGAAAGTAACAAGCATAAGGACATACAGAGGTATAAGTAACAAGGTGAACGACATACAGAGTACAAGGTCGCTGGAGCGACTGGATCGGATCGGGCCTCGGCCCACCAGACCAGTCACCCGGCGGACCCGGCGGACCCGGCGGGTCGAGGCCCATGACAGATGCACGGATATGACAGCCCTAGCAGGCAGGCCCTTAGAGTTTCTTGTCTATGGATCCTCCCCTGCTAGGTCAGTCCCTCCATGTATTTCCTGTAGCATTTATTCACACTTTGGATCCTCCCCTGTGTAAGGGCAACCCCGGAGGCCTGAGATCAAGGTCCTAGCAGGGGAGGATCCAAAGCGTGAACATTGGTAAGCGAATACAAATGAAGCTGACCTAGCAGGGGAGGATCCAAAGAGAAGAAACTCTGAGGGTCCGCCTGCTAGGTAGCTGACTATATACTGCTTGTCCGTAGCTGCCGCTGTCGGGCACAGAAGGCTTGGGCGGCGTCGCAGGCGAGGTCCCAGGGCGACCGTCGGGAGGGCGTTGACGGATCGGTGATTGTGCGGGCGAGATGGAGGGCCGGACCGGAGTCGGAACCGGAATCGGACCGGAATCGGGCGCGTCTCCGGGCCGAAAGGGGAGGTTCCCCTGACACCCTGCTAGGCTTTCATCGGAATATGTGCGTTTCTCCTACTGGGGCGCCTGTTCCCCATTGTCACGTGCTGCATGTTACGGGTCCGTGGTGGCCCAACACCAGCGTCGGAGTGGATGGGCCGGGTCTTATCTGTGACAGAGCCTTGCATGGCCTGACCCAAAACCTGACAAAAATTGCCCTTTAAGGCTGTTTTGATGATAATCTGGGCCTGAACATGTAACAGAGGCCACAGATGTCTGTGCTGTGACTGTGAGTAAAGTGTAACATAGACAGTTGATTGAAATAGGATAGTGTTGTGCTCCAATGATTAGCCTCAGAGCATCCAAAGATACATAGGATATAATGCAAAGGTAATATATATTAAGAAAGAAATTTAAGCATACATTGTATTTATGGTGTAAGATATCAGAATTAAATGAGGGGGAATTTATATATCCCCATAGGGCAAAAGGCTGAGTGTGCCCAGGGTGCAGATATAACATCCCCCCATGTAATATTGAAGATCTCCCTAGGGACATGTTATTGATGCACAGGGTGCTATTTATTATTTACCCACTGTAATTGTAGAGATGTGTCCTGTGGATTCAAGGTGAAGTTGGAGTGGGTCGGGCGGACGGAGGTGGTGGCTCGGGATAACGTATCAATGTATCATGTGCTACCACATCAATCCTACTACAGGTGCCCCCTTCTGAAATGGCGACGTCCTCGTCGCCTGCTGAACTCCAGTGCCCACAGAAACCCAACTATAAACCACTATACTGCTAAAACTGCTAAAACTACTGAAATCTGCTGAGTTGGGTGTGTGGGATGTCGAAACGGCAAGTGTGATGGATGTCGACCCAGAATGGCGCCATGTCGATGATCGATGGATGGTGGTCTCGAAAGCTCTTGTGAAGACTGCGATGATGTCCTGAAAGGTGTTTGGGTGTGCGGGAAGTAGATGGGGATGATGGTCGATAGACTGTGATGGCACCCAGGCACTGCTACACTGCTGGACTCGTACTCGGTGACACCTGCAACAGTCGATGGCCAGATCGCTAGGGTAGGCGGATGGGAGACATGGGTATGGCCACCCATGGACCGAACGTGCAGAGCGGCGCACAAAGAACACTCTCGTCACCACATGGAGTGGGTCGGGCGGACGGAGGTGGTGGCTCGGGATAACGTATCGATGTATCATGTGCTACCACATCAATCCTACTACAAAGTGCATGCGACAGGCCTGTCTCATGTCTCATGTCCCATCACCAGATCAAGCGGTTTTCTGGACGGTCCATTAGCACAAACTTAAATCAGTTTGTGAACAACAAGCGCCGCTCATATCACTGAGTCGTGTTCTACATAAGGATGTTTTCGTGACTCTGGTGCCCTAGGCCATCCAAACCAAGACTTTAAGATACTCTCTTGTTCTTTCATGCCACTCCTTTTCGCCACCCCAGATGAATTCTCTACGTTCATAAAACTTCAGTCCAGCAACATTTTTCTCAAAGCACCGCAAATTCATCACAGGGTTGTGCTTCCCGAGGGGTCCTACCCCAAGGACGTGTTGTTTTACATGCTCTAGGAGAAGCGTTCCGACGCCTTGCGCTAGGAAATCTGGGTGCACAAACAAGAAGGTTATCTGCAAACTGCCATTAGGCCCCCGGAACAGCGATTCAAGCATAATTCTTGCCTCTCCTGGCTGATACTTCCCCTGGTCATCTAGTTTGGGGTCGTACCAAGCAATATAGCCAGCCAGCTTATCGTCGACTTCTGCAACCCAGATAAGCTCCTTTTGGAACTGGACTTGCAACCGCGTCCAGAGCTTTCCTGGCTCAGAGACGCCCGGCTCTCCTGGATCGAGGTCCGGCTCGAGGTCGTAGAATTCGTCACCTAATCTGCGGCCAGGGAGTGAGAAGTTGACGGAAGCGACAAAAAGCTGCGCGATGCCGCGGATGTCGTTGCGAGTTGCTTCACGGAGGTGGGGTTGCATCTAGATCCTGACGTTGCTTCGTCAGAATAATGTTTAAAAGGTATGCGCGGAGCCGGAAAGTACTGACTCGGTTCATCGTCTTCGCAGTTTCGGACTGCCGACAATTCCGTGTTATTCAGTCGTCCGACAGCGTCGATTTTTGCACCAAGATGGTTTAAATTTGACCCCGTTGCATCTGCCTGCAGAGATGGAGTACAATCTGGTACCAGAATCGACTAGTATCCTAGAGATTCTCGAAAACCACGCTCGAGCCTCTCCCTATAATCATAAGACTCTCTTTCTCCAATTATTGTGTTCTAAAATGCTCACAACGCGTTATGTTATGCCAGCCTGAGACCGTGACTGTCTGTTAGTGCTGACTCATGCCCTTACCACCCGAACTCCTACGGCTCATTGCGGGGAATATCGACGAGCAAAGCACTTTGCTTGGCCTTCGACTTGTCTCGAAGGGTTTTGGCGTCATCTTCACACCTCTGGCATTCCGTCTCATCACTGTGAGCGACAGTCTCCGCCGCGGACAGGCGTTGGCCGCATTGCAAGAATGTGAAGAAGAGCTTGTATCAAATATTCGCGAGATTGTTTTCCATGGAGACCCTCTTTCGCCAACAGACAACCCATCTAATTGGATATGTAGGAGTTTTGCTTGCGTATGACTGCGGGTGATTTGAACTAGAATTGACTGCCCAGCTGTCGATGTGGAGGAAGGGCTGCCAAGGCGCCGTGCATTACAGAGCGCATTCGCAGCATTGAACAAATTTCCCAAACTTGAACATCTACGCCTCGATTTTCACAATACTTGGCAGGAGGAAGACATTGTCGACATCCCAGAACAACCGACACACTTTCTCCTCCTCCAAAACGCCCTGTTCTCTGCTCTCGCCAGCTGTTCTCCAGCACCAAAGCTCGTTTCAGTTACCCTTCACAACGTGCTTGCAGTTCCAGATGCTATTTACGCGCAACCTGAGTTTCAAAGCTTCTTTTCAACATTGCAAACCCTTGACTTGTCCGTCCTCTCGGATGCAGAGAGTGAAGGCTCTTACTATCAGACCCCATTGGCCACCTTCTGGGACACCAGCATGGCCCATATTGTCCGCAGTGCCAAAAGCGCCAGATCGCTCACCATTCGAAGCGACCAGTCCACCGGCGCGTACCCTGCACTTTCTTTTGCTGCGACATGCCTCCCTAATCTAGAAGAGCTGTCTTTGACCAAATTCGTCCTCGATACGTCGAGCCCAGACTCAGATGTCGCCCTCTTCATTGTCAAACATAAACGGACGCTGCGACGACTAGAATTGCACGACTGCACGATTGATGGAGGAGAGGATTTGCAGTTCCCGCGACCGTGGTTCGCGGTGTTCAATTTGTTCAACGACGAGCTTATCCACCTGCGCTCTTTTGTTTTTCAAAGCATAGCGAGGCGTGGCCGAAGAGCACCTATCGGCGCAAAGTTTGGATATACGCGCCTGGATCCAGGCTGGGGTTATATGCCACTCAATGAGGAGGATGGTCCGGTTCAGGGAGCAGACCTCGATGCGCCAACGTTAGAAGGCTTCTTGGCGGCAGTCGCGGCAAGATCTTGATCCTTCTAATGACGGCCAGCAATCCGCCAACACACATCTTCTTAAGCTCGAGGAATTATGTACTTGCTCATACTAGCACTCTTTATCATCCAACACTATATTGGGATTGCACGACTGCTCAGTTGACGGAGCCTTGGTTTTGCGTGTTCGACCTTTCAAAGCAGCAACAGCGATAAAGTGGTCTTGATTACTGCGGTCAATCATCATACACATTCCCATAAACGATGATTCTATCCAAATCTGCTGCTGGGCCTGAAATGGAAATGAGCTTCAGGTTCAATGTCATCATAGCACCGAGTTTCACCTCCGTTAAGACCTGAAATTGCAATCGTATTCTCTGCTCCTTCGTTGAATGTGACATTAAGAGGTGTCGAGAGGATGATTCCCGCATTGGTGTCACGCTGGCGCAGCGTTATCGGTGCGGCTTCATTAACAGAGACCGATGCAAAGCGGAACAGAACGAAGGATTGGCCAGAAGCACCCCGGTTGTCTCCAACTGCCCATGCGTCAGCCAAGTTGCGTGAGCAATTTGAAATCATCATACAAAGGCCGTCCGGATTGTGGTAGTAAAATGACACCCATTGCGGCTTCCCAGTGCCGACAATGTTGTGCAACGTCAGTGTGGCATTCCCTATTACTTCGGAAGGACGATGAGCGACACGCAAATAACGGGTGGAGGCACATACACCCAGTGACAATTGCCGCACCAGAGCAGGTGGGACAAACAGTCGAATAGGCAGCGCCTGTAATTTCTCCGTGCTCAGCTTCGTATGTCGTTCCGCGCGGAGAGTTGACAAGGCCAGTCTTGACGTCGACCATGAAGAGATCATGCCAGGCAACGGAGAACGAGCCAACTGAATCGTCGATGCTCGCGGGAAGCCAGACATAACGACTGTCCCAGAGATCTGACGCCGTCGACCATTGGTCACCACAGTAGAGAACAGTGGTTTTGTGGGTACCGGCAACAGAGATGAGCATTGTACTTTGGGAGTTGTATGTTCGGGTGCCAGAGCTATTTGCTTTTTTAGGATGGAGGGAAATAAAGAACTCGACCACATACGGCGCAACATAGCTCTGGACACTCCAAGGACCGACAATCTTTTCTGCAGAAAACACTACGACGTTATTGGGTCGGTAGCCGGTTTTATGGGACATGAGGATGTAGTATCGTTTTCCAGCGAATACCATGGTCGGTGCCTCGAGGTCATAATCTTACAGCAAATGACTGAGATAATTGAGGCGTCCGAAAATCTGATGAACACACCAAAGAAGGTATAGACAACCTCTTCAACATTCGTCAAGTTTGTATTCAATCGAGTGATGAGGTTATCATGCGCTGAATCCGCATCACCATTGCTATATAGCGCATACGCATTGCCTGACGAAGTAAGCGGATGCTAGATTCGATCTAAAACAAACCATCAACGTCTTGGAACAAACCAAAGTCTTGACTGGTACCCCCGAGTGGGCTGAACGCGCCTTGGAATGTGTATGGACCTTGATTTCATTAGAAAAAGAAGGAGATAATTTGAAGATGATCGCATACCAGTAATATTCGGACTAGTGGCGATTCCCTGGCGTAAAAGCCCATACGTCGAGTTGTCGGAATGGAACCAGAGGACCCACTCGCCCAGCTTCTCGCTGAATACTACTTTCGGCCGCTCCGCAACACGCCCCGGGTCGATCTCGGTTCCATTTACCGGAGAGAGGGCCTGTCCACGGAAATCCCAGTTGAGCAAGTCTGTCGAGGAGTAGACGTTGATGCCAGAGAAGACGGCCTTATTTCCCTGCACTTCATTCTGACCAAACCAATAGTATGTGCCCTCGCTATGCACAATTCCACCCGCATGGGCACTGAGGACAGCCCCAGACGTATCATACCACGTTGCCCCTGGTACGATGAAGCGGTTTCTACGCGCGAGAGCAGTAGAAGCGGCGAGGGAGTAGGAGAGTGCAGGTAACTTCGCAGATGAAGAGCATAACTCTCAAACCATTCTGTCGCCATTATTTGAGGGGAAGAGGAGTTGTGGTCATAAGACTCGAGGGAGAAGAAGCCCACGTCAGTCGCCGGCCCGTCGTATGCCTCCGACCCCCGTTCGGCTGGAAACACCAATTCAACAAGCGTTTATAAGTGTTGTGCTGTGGTTGTGGTGGAAGTTTTCTCCAAAGTCAAAGTTGCCTTGATGATGTCAGCTACACGATCACGCAGCCAAGATGGAAATACGTGTTCTCCAATATGCCTTACAACTGACACCCACAAAGAGCATCGGAGTAGGCTATACATGACTGGGGCTCCACCCCACTTCTGCAAATGATGTCAGTACACTGGCAGCAATGCAGACTCATATGTGAAGTGAATAGGCAAAGGAAGTAAGAAGTTGGGAACATGGTAAATCTTAATATGCACAAACGTTCACAAGACATCTTGATAATATAAGAGTGACAATTACGTGCTAGTGCAAGTACCAAACAACGACGCAGAGTTTCCTTTGAGTTGCACATTTTGGCAGCTATATTTAGCCTTGCCAGAGGGCGGACTATTTTCACTTCAGTGCAAGAGAACCAACAAGAAAGGATGACCTACGTAAGAGCGAGGTTGTTGACGTTAATGTCACTGCAACGAGCTCCAGGCGAGCAGCCCATGCTTGCGACCGTTGAGCCAGTGGATGTTCCAGTGATGCTAGGAAGGCCCAATTTGAGCAACGCTGGCACCGCATATAACAGGACATACTTGTCAAAAAACACGTCTTGAATGAGTGTGTTCGATGGGAAAGCGGTACACTACTCGGATGTCAGTCAATAAGCAAGCACTGTGAATGGCTTGTCGCACATCGGAAGAGCTGAGAGGGAGTTTGGTCAACAGTAGTGGAGTTTAGAGATACAAACCTTGTCTCATAGCACTAAAAGAGTGTCAGATCATCACTCTCATGATCTTAAGCAACTTGCCTGGTCAATAATAACCGGATGGTCCGATTTGCTCTGGACGAAGTTGCTGAACGTGATGTTCTTGACAATTCCCGACCCTACGCCAGATCCCGCCCAGCACTTGATCCGGGCCCCATTTTGCACATTTGTCAAGTGAATATTAGTCGCAGTGACGTTTTCGACGATGTCGAATACGCCGGCAAATTGGCCTAAAGATCTGCGGAGCGTACCATGAATGCGGAATATCCTGCGAGGATTACTCTCCTACCCAACGGAGATTCCACTATAACAAGTTCAATGAGATGCTAACTATGTACCCGGATACGTACTGGGAGCCAGTGCAGTTGAGATTGGAAACGAAGACATTCGTCGAGTCTAGTCGATTAGATAAGATAAGATAAGATCAGCCATCGTTCTCGGTGAGGCTTACTAGGCTAACGGAGGCAATTAGAACAAGTGCAGCAGACGAAAAAATAGTGTCAAACCTTGAAAGAAACGCAGTCATCGCCGTTACTTTGAATCGATCATGAGAAATGAGCTTCAAGTTCGACAAATGAGCATACTTGATGACGGAGTTTGTGATGGTGACTTTATCGCTGCGGTAGATATCCCAGCCATCGGTATTCTTCGCGGCGTTGGACGATGTCGACGCAGCATTCATCGTGATATTGTTGTATGTCACGTTCTTCCCCTCGTTGACAAGATTGAACCATTCAGGGCTATTCAAAAACTTGACATTTTGAACGAGGACGTTGGTAGCTTGGAAGATAGTGAGGGTAATGGGACGGAGGAGGGACGAGTTCTTTGCGAAAGGGTCGTACCAAGTCTGTGAGATAGATTGAACTTAACGTCGCAAGTATGACCTTCGAGACGCACTTGCCCAGCACCATCAAGCGTTCCTCCACCGTCAAGAACGAGATTTGTGCCGCCCAAGATCCAGAAGGTGATTTGCGTTTGGAACGTAAAGGGAAACCCATTCTGTTGGGAGGTCAGTGCGAGTTCGACCCTCCATATTCATTTTTACCGCGGTCCAATAGGCAATATTTGGATTGAATTTCATCGTTCCTTGGAGGTTCTACGCCATCAACTGAACGAATAGCTAGTAGAATGGCAAATACCAGATGTTTGTTAGTTAAACCAGTCATGTTCAGGCGCGTCGAGATGTTGAGTGTGGTGCCAGTTGGGACGATAACGGTGCTACAAGATTGCATCGCAGTCAAAAGCTGAGGAGAATCGTCTTTGCCAGACCCCAGAGCTGTGACAGTACAAGACTGGCTATACGCAAAGCGAATCGTGACTAGACCACAACAGAACAGAGGGAGGAGACGCATGCTTGCTGTTCATGACGAAGATTGGTGCACCGGCTATGTATACGCCAAGATCTTCCGACAACGTTGCGCTTGGCGGACCGCGCAGTGGCGGAACTTGGTCTCATGGTCGAGGGCAGGAAGCACGTGCCTGCCGCACTGATAAAATTATCCCGACAAGTGGATTCAAGCCGTGCCGGAGTCACCGCCCATGCATTCGTGAATGAGATTGGAAACATTGGGTATGTCCACACACACAAGTTCAGAATAGATACTCAAAGTCGATCCATTTCGGATGCTCCAAGAATACCCCATCGACCGTGAAGTCTTGGGCTTTGACATCTGCTGCCGTCAGGATATGTTCTACAGAGACTCGTCCAGCGGTGTTTCCTCCAGGACCTCGAAAAGGGATTAGCACTGAGAGTGAAGAGGCAGTAGGAAGCACACCGCTTGAGTTAAACTCAGCATAAAATGTTGTGTTCAAGATTGCTGGCCTTACAAATCATTTTATCAGTCTGGGATGTCACTGAAACGAAGCCAACCTGGCACTATTGAATGGTTCAAATCCTGCAGATCGAATGCTCTGGTCCATAAACGTCGAAAGAAACACCGTTACAGCCAGGTCGTTCCAAGGCCGGCCTAGAAAGCACGAGTTGGTGGTGACAGTGGTCGCGTTTGCATCGGGAGACTGGTTGTGAGCCAACTCAGCGCCAGTGAAGAAGAAGAGAAGCAACCTACACGGATGATTTTCGAGTCAGAAATATATGCTCCGTATCTGTTGCGCGGAGCATCAGTAAGATTAGTTCCTTTCCATGCGACGAGGCCGCCGCCGCAAGCGCGGTTTGCAAAAATGGTGTTTTGAAACCAGCTGAAAGCATTCAATTGCTTGAAAGAAGCGGGTAAGGTCTTACGCGGTCCCAAAACCAAACAGGTCTAGCCGAATGATCTGAGCATCGGAGACAACTCGACACAACACAACTCACAGTCTGTCTGACCAAACACCACACTATCAACCATGTAGGTGCTTGCATTCCTTCCGGTATACCAGGTGTCCTGGAAACTCGCAAAGGAGCATCCATAGAACGACGCATTAGCATAAGAGATATCCGTGGCAAGAGCTTGCGAGATGGCAAAGTTGGCAGCGCGATTTTGGATGTCAATGTTGTACGCTTTGAAATTGACGTTGCCAAAGACAGGTTGAAGTGGGGCCCCAGTTGGTCCCGCGCCAATGAGTGCAGCTATCGCGCCATGAGCATTCAAATGCGGCGGTCATTAAACGGTGCCGTCAACTTACCAGCCAGATTCGGCGCAACAGTGAGTACAGCAGAAGATGCATCGTCCTGGCCACTCATCACGAAGTTGTTGTTCCAGATCTGCACGAGGTTCATGTTAGCGGATGTGGGATTTGCGAAGGGTTTGGCAGCCAAGGTGGCATTAGCAGGAAGTTGGCCCTGAGAGTGGTTTAGTGGAGTGTAGCTAACGAAAAGAAAAGAACAACCAGAAGTGTGAGAGGACCGTTGCGCGAGATATTCACGGTTTCATGATATGATCCGGCACCAATGAGGATAGTGGCAGCACCCTCGCCAGGACTGTTTTCCGTCTGATTTTTGATCGAACTGCAGGTCAAGGGCGCTCACAGAGACTCGATTGCAGACTGGATTGAGTTGAACGTGGCATAAGGGTTGCTGACATCTTGAGACACAAATATTGTGTTGGTGGGGCATCCTAAGAGTGGCGAAATCGATTGAGGCTTTTCAACTTGGCAGTTATAGTATGTCGGCGAGAGGGCATGCACGAAGGAAAATTGCATGGCCAGGTAGAATGAGGGGCGATGCATCGAATTTGACAATATGATCAGGCGCCTTGTGTAGCTAATAAAGACCGTCTCATTCGAAGCTGCCCATCGTGACCGAGATTTGTCGACAGGCGGGATGGTACGGGCCGCAGATAGCTTTCGATTCATCACGACTCATCAGTGTTACTTAGCAGAAAGATGATGCGAGGAGGCCAACAATCTATCGACCAGCTCGTTGGGGGGGGTTTGTGGCATAGACTGTTGGGAGCTTTCGAGCAGATAGTTGCCAGTCTAAAGTATAATGAGGAGCTTTGAAGACTCAATGAACCGAGGGAGTTTACCGCCAGAGAGTTAAAGAGTGGTTTCTTCAGAGAGATACCATTGCACCGAGGAGTAAGAAGATATTGGCTAAACGAGCAAAGGTGTTGAGAAAATTTGCGGCACGTGATGTGACACTCACCTTTGGTGTGACCACTACCAGCTTGCTACCAGCGCTAGCCGCTGCTAGCCACGACCTGACCGTCACCTGCCGTCACCTGCGTTTCCTGAACTTAGCGAAAATCGAGGATATGATAGTCCGGCAATAGCTATCGTCTGCTCGCACGAATTCCTTGCCATTGGAACGAGTATTGCACGACTTTCCCAAGCGTACACACAGATTCGCATCTCCTGCTTCCTCGGAAGGCTTACGGAAGATTCTGACTTTCAAAATATCATGAACACCTCAGACGAGTGCTGCTTCAGAGGCAATTTGCACGCCGGAGAACCAAAAGGTCTGTATGACATTAAATCTGCGTCTTGACTCTTTGAAACACCCGGTAGGTACCATCGAGGTTATAAATGGCGTCTCAGTCTATCGTTCGCGGTCTTTAGAAGAGTCAAACGACGACACAAAAGCAATCATGTATCTTCCTGGTCAAAGTTTCACTTGCTCATGAGGCACCACTCACTCGACTGTCAGATGTCTTCGGAATGCAGCTCGTGAACAATAAGGTATCCTCGAATATCTAACTTGAAATCAGTGCAATAACACGACTTTTAGCTTCTGGTACGCTAGCGAGCCTGTGTTGCCAAAATGAACAATTCTCATCCGACGCGGAAGGCCGATAGGTTGACTGCGACTGGTTATACAGTGCGGTATTTTAAACCCATTTTCGGCACAAATCTCAGTTCCTCCAGGTATTTATGCCTGATTATCTAGGCGGCGACCCTCGTCCTGGCTCTGTGGATCAAGCGCCACCTGTAAAACCATCCATCACCCATTCTCCCCAACTTGAACTTAAATTATTGAATCCAGCCTTCGTTTGATGTCAACGCGTGGAAGGCTGCACATACTGCAGCCCAAACGCGTCCACCTCTTGATAAGGTGATCATGGGGCTCAAGAGCGAAGGTTACACTGCGTTCGCTGCAACAGGCTATTGCTTTGGCGGTGCGTTGTGTTCAATTTTGCTTTATAACGCAATAAACTCTGCCAATAGCGCGGTATACGGTGGACCTGGCGCTGGAAAATGCCATCCAAGTTGCCTCCGTCTCGCATCCATCCCAGCTTCGTGTTCCCCTTGACATTGACGCGTTGGTGGCGACCTCCAATGTGCCGCTGCTGATCAACTCCTGCGAGTTCGACCCGCATTTCCCCCAAGAGTGGCAAAGCATCGCGGACGAGAAGCTAGGCGGCGGGAAGTATGCGCCGGGCTACAAGAGGACATACTGGGAGGCGAGCTGTTTTCGAACGAATTTTTATTGAGGAGTTGACTCCCTTTACTAGGGATGCTCACATGGCTTTTTGACGAAAGGCGACTTAGTGCGGCCTAGCCAGATGATAAGCACAGAATCCTGATTCTTATACTAGTCCGACCCCAAAGTTAAGTCCGGGCAAGATGGCGCTGTTGAAGCAACGATAGCCTGGATTCGGGAGCACCTCTAGAATTTACAATCAAGCACGAGCTCATGATCAACAACCTTACAACGCGACGTAAACAAACCTGTTGAGCAAAAACGTATAGACAAAATAAGTAACTCTTCGAAAATCAAACACTCAATTTACTCTGTCGAAGTCCCAATTTACTCTGGCTGCCATCTAGCTCGTCGAGAGGGAGGTCGTAATCCCTCGTGGCGTGAACAGCCCTTGAAATATTGACGGCGACGCCTGGGCGCTGTATTCCAGACGATACGACCCCTGTCGACTTGAGGTTGCCGGTGCTTTCTGCCTTGTGCGCCCAGCCAAGACCAACACGGACATGTATGAGCATGCACGAGATCCCGCTCATGACCGGCCAGCAGTCCACGGCATTGAACTGCAGATTGGACCCCGACTGGTAGGTGACGAAGAAGAACAGACTCCAGGTTCTGATGAAAGAGCTATGAAATGAGGGCAGTTCAAGATCGAAAATCGGCGCACGTGTACAAGGCAGCGCTTTCGACGATTATTCCGAGTACAGACTATCAGCTATCAGCAACAAAGAAGGATTCGTCGTTGAGTTGAAGCACCATGAGGTTACTAGTATCGCCCACAAATGGTTTGATCGCACGACTGGACTTCAAAATACGCCAAGTAATGAAACCTGGACGAGAGTCAAAAAAGATAGATACTGAAAGCAGATCCAGGGCTGACCAGTACTGTAAATATTCGTACTAGCTGGGTTTAGCACATGTATGATGGAAGTTGGGATGCATACGAAAGCGTGAAGACAGCATCGCTAGTTATCCAGCGACCGGCTTCCGACAAGAAAACATTTTGTCCAGGTTTATACTGGGTGAACTGGTAAGTGATCCCAACACCACAAACTAAAAAGAGGTGAGAAGAAAGTCGGGGCGGAAACGTATCACTTGCCGGTGAGGCCCAGAAGAGTCGAAAGAGGGAAGATTAGGACAGCAAACTTGCGATTCCAGATGATCCATAGACGGTGAATCTGGTCAATATAATCAATACCATGAACCGCGGTGTTGATTGGTCAACGCACAATCAGTGCGTCCCCGATTGTCAGGGTGGCCATGAGAAACCCGGTTTTAACGACCTCAGTAATCTGAGAGAGGTCTCCGTAGAATCCAAGAGGAGATGTCCCGTTTTCGAAATATAAGAAAGCCAAGAAAGACCGGTCTACGGTGAGAATCCAATGCTTCATGGTTTGCTAAGTTGATTGGGTAGAAAATGGACGGGAAATTTACCGCAGTAATAGTCGAAGTCATTGCGACAACCCCCAGGAATATTGGCGAAGAGAGTTTGACGTTGCGTGCGCGAAGCAAAGAAATCGAAGTGATGGCGAGGACCATGAATGCCCCATAGAGGCAGCTTTCAAGGGCTACGGTCGCGAGATTTACGGGGACAAGGGGTATTTCGGCGACCATACTGGGCTTACGGTGGATTTCAGCATCCTGACCGCCATGGTTTTATGTGAAGGAGCTAAGTTGGGATTCATCAACCACGTGATGTTTCTTTTTTTTCAAAATCAACACTCTTACTTCTTGACCAATTCTTGACACGCCAATATACCCGTCTCTTCCTCGGAGTGCACCCACCGTGGCGCCTTCCGTCTACGTTCTAAGATGATAGTCAACCGCTATCTCGAGGCTATCTCAGATTCGAAGTAGATGCTGTCTCCATTTTACGACTGACAGTTCATCGCCTTCCAGTCAATTGTCGAGGTTATTTTGGATGGAAAGTTTTGGGTGGGCCAAAGATGGATGCTCCACACATATCCGTCTCTTAGCGGCGGCGATACGCGGCTCAGCGCTCTTCGCTCCTTTCCACCATGGCACAACCGCGTCTGTTGCCCGCGCCTCCCCAGACTCAGGCTCTCCAGTCCAACACTTTTCGCCCGCCTCCACTCGATGGCTCTTTGTCTATGCCACAAATCTACGACTGGCACTTTAAAAACAACCCTACTCATCGACTCTTTGTCTTTGCGCAGTCTGACGGTTCTATCAGAACCATCGACTGGTCAGAGGCCGTTCATGCCATCTGGACCGGCACGAGCATTCTCAGATCCCGCTTCAAGTGGGTATCTGGGGTAGAAATGTCGGTCGTCGGTATCCTGGCGGCGTCTGGTGAAGTCCTTTTCCTCGATAAGGAGCTCGCTCATTTCGATCCAGACACAATCCCATACTTTACTTTGATAGCCAGTTGCTATCGAGCGAACTACGTGCCTTTCCCTATTTCTCCTCGAAACTCAGCAGCCGCTGTAGCCCATCTAATCAACAAAGCTGGTATCAAGCATATCCTGCTCGGCCATGAGCCTGCTATGCGCGAACTCATCACCGCTAGTCTCGCTATACTGAACCAACAATTTCCCACTTGTCAGCCACCCGATGTCTCCCATGCTCCGCTGTTCGAAGAGTTGTTTCTCCCCGAAGATGAACGTACACTGACCGCCGATTCCGTGCCATATGAGTGCAAGGGTCCCGATGTGACGGCGGTTATAATGCATTCTTCAGGTTCGACCTTTCTTGACATATAATGACATATTTATTCTGCTCTAAGGCTCCACCGCTTTCCCCAAGCCTATTTATTGGTCCAACCATCGAATTATTCAAGCTGCTCTTATTCCCTGGTTTGGGGAGCGCGACCTGACGGATCAACTTCTTTCTCTGCATACGATGCCGATGTATCATGGTATGGGTATCCTGCAAACCATGTGGACGGTAGGCGGATAGCGTTTGCTTGAAGTCGCGCATGTTTTTGCTGACTATTTACGAGGCTTCTTGCGGCTTAGTTATCACGGCGTTCGAACCTAAAGCTATACCGACTGTTCCAACACCCGTCAATCTCTTTGAAGCAGCGAAGGCGACCAATAGTGATATTGTGTTCTGTGTTCCTGTGTTCATTGAGGTATAATTTGTGTCGTATTGACGAGGCGTTCATCTGAGGTCTATTACTAGGCTTGGTCTCGTGAGCCAGATTATGTCAAATGGCTTGCGACACGCAGTGGTGTAGTCAGTTTGCGACGCTCCTTTGTGTATATTGGGTGCTTAGGCTCGATAGTTATTCGGTGGCGGGCCCCTCAATAAGGAAGCTGGAGACTTTATGACATCACATGGGGTTTCGATATTTATTCTCTATGGGTCGTACGTTCTTTCCGACTATCTGGTTTCTGTTCACTCTCCGTTCAGTTCTGAGGGCGGTATTATGAGTCCAATTCTCCCCGGTGGGCTTGCATGGTTTATCTGAGCTTCACAGTGCTAATACATGTCCTGCAGCCAAGGTCGGCTATGACTGGGAATATTTCACATTCCCCAAACTGGTGACGCCCGAAATGGTACCACACGGAAACAATACTTTCGAACTCGTGATGGTGGTATGTAGGCCAGATTCCTATACTGCACACAAGTCACATGACTTATAGTCGAATGTCTTCTGTCGACCTGCTGTTCTCAATACCCGGGTCGGAGGTGTCGAGTCGTATGCAACTTCAGACCTACTTGTTCCCCATCCTACCAAGAAGGGTTACTGGAAGATTTTTGGACGGACAGACGATCAAATCATCCATAACACGGGGGAGAAGGTACATATGGCGTATACCCATCCCGTCTTCCCAGACCTAATCCTTGTCACAGACGAATCCAGGACCCTTAGGTGAGATTGTAACACCGAAAATTGAGAGCACTCATCCATAAATCTCATAGAAAATTTATTGAATCAAGACCCTCATGTCCACTCGGCCGTCATGTTTGGCCGGGGGCGATTCCAAGCAGGTGTTCTCGTTGACCCAAAACCTGCGTTCAAATTCGATCCGGCAGACGAGCTCAAGCTTGCGGCCTACCGAAATGTAATCTGGTTTGTTCTCTGTATTTCCTTGTTTTCTACGTTGAAAGCCGCTGTAGGCCTACTGTGCTGAAGATGAATGAATTCGCACCACAGCACTCTCGTCTCTTCAAAGAGGTTTACATCTTCCCAGCCGCTCAGTTTACGCTTGACAAAAATATGTAGATGATTCTTGTTGAGAAGCCCAACAAACCGTCGGTTTTTTTCCCGTAAGAAACCTTGTTGACCCATTTCACAGGTTCACTTACACCGCGAAAATGACTGTTCGACGACAAGCAGTAATAGCAGACTACGACCCTGAAATTGACGCATTATACGAAATCGTTCAGACGTCGGCCACGCTCAACATCGCACCGCTTTCCTCTTGGGACTCGGAATCGGTCTTGAACTTTGTGCGCGCTGCAGTCAACAATGTCCTCATCGCGCGCGTGGGGGACGAGGATGACATGTTCCAACACGGCTGCGACAGTCTCCAAGCAACCTGGATTCGAAACGCCCTTCTCCGTATGCTGCAAGAGCAAAAAGAAATTGATATTCGCCGAGAAACGAGGAATTTCGTCTACGACCATCCGACAGTGTCTGCTTTGGGCGCATACGTCTTTGGTCTAGGCAATAGTGGCTCTCCGCAAACCGACAACACATCTCAGTCTGTTGAAACAAAGATCAGGAATATGCATGCCATGGTCCAGAAGTACTCGCGCAACCTTTCGCTCCCTTACAAAGGCCTCTCGAATGCGCGTAACCCAGAGTTAAAGAAGGTCGTGCTCGTCACTGGAACTACAGGAGAACTTGGATGCTACCTTCTTACTCAACTTTTGCGCGACCCGAGCGTCGAATTCGTCTACGCTGTCAACCGTCGTGCTCCACACCTCGCAGACTTGTTCAGCCGCCAGAAAGCGGCGCTCGTAGATCGCGGTCTTGATGGCAACATCCTCGAGTCCGCTTCGACCAAGCTGCTGCTTTGCGAGAGCGATTTGAGTGAAGCTCATCTGGGCCTCCCGGACAGTCTCTATCAGGAGGTGCGCCTTTACTATTCTGCTCCTTGATGATGTCTCATTTGAGTACCAGATTCATAGTCATGTCTCGCACATCATTCACTCGGGTACGTCGCGTGGAAAAATCATCTCCTCCATATTCTGATTGACTCAAGCATGGCCGGTGAACTTCAATATCAGTCTGTCCTCGTTCGAGCCCAACATTCGTGGTCTACGAAACCTTATCAATTTTGCACTCGATCCGCATCCACGAACTCTCTTGTTTACCAGTACCATCGGTGTTTTCAACACGCCGTCCACCGATAGACCCCTGGCTGAGGCCCCCATCGAGGCTGACACTGCCGCTGGCAACGGGTACCAACAGTCTAAATGGGTGGCCGAGGAGATACTGCAAGACGCCAGGCGCTCATATCCGAGTGCGAAGCTGATGACGGTTCGAGTAGGGCAGTTGTGTGGAGGAATCAACGGCGCTTGGAACACGCACGAATGGCTTCCCGCGGTAGTTCAGAGCGCGAAGCATCTTCGATGTCTACCTGATGATACCGGAGTAAGTGTCTTTTTAATAGCGACTCTGTTTTAACTTACCAACACAGGTTGTGTCCTGGATTCCGGTGCACATCGCGGCAGCTGCAATCATTGACTTCCTTGACCCTCCAGCGGCTCCAATCACGCATCTGATCAACCCCAAACCTACCTCATGGCACAGTCTTGCGAAGATCATCGCCGCCGAGCTAGATGTCCCCCTCGTCTCGTACATGGAATGGTTTTCCCGTCTTAAAAAAGCCACCCCCGATCCAAAGTTCCGAGCGCTGCAATTTGTCGACTTCTTCGAGCCGAAGCAATCCGTGGAAGCGTTTGGATTCCCAAAACTGGAGATGACGAATGCCTTGGAGAAATCGAAGCACCTGAGGGATGGAGACTGTGAGCTGGGTGAGGCTGACGTGCGACAGTGGTTGGCGTATTGGCGTCGAGTTGCGTTGGTATGATTATTTGGCAAGTTCCGACTGGATTGAAAATAGATTTTTCGTCGAGGGATGACGTCATTGTTTTTTTTTGTCGTTTGGTTGAAAAATTCATCAAGAGTCGACAAAATTAGAATAACGAGTCTTATTGCACCTCCGACCTCGGCGAGAAGTGCCAAAATCCTCTCCATCATGCGATCAAACGATCAAACAAACAAGTCACCCTTCACCACCACCGCGCATTGGCTGGACGAGCGGTGTTTTTGTGCTTCTCCCGTTGGACGTCCTTCCATTTGCTAGGGCCAACGGGCCGCATCGGCCGACACAGTGATTTGTGGGTTGCTTGGTAATGTTTGGTGCCATGCCAGACAGGAAAGGCGTTGACTCCGCCGCTTCGTGCTCGTTGTGCATTGCAAGGAGCAAACACTTCAACGGCCTCACTGGCATCTGAACCATGCATTTGGAGGGAAAGAATGAGGACGCTAGCCCAGTGGATGCGACTTCTACTCGAAAAGCCTGGTTAACACGTCAGTTAGATCCAAGTTGGATCCTACTTCGTCGGTTGAGACTCATCGGTCGTCAGTGGCTGGAGCTTTTCTCCTGCAATTTGTGGCAGTTGGTCCAGTATGTCCCGCAGTTTTTTGGACGTTCGATCCTCAAGCCAGTAGATCATGTCGTTCGGTGTATTCCAGGATTTCTACAGCACCGACTTTCTTGAATCTCATTCAGCATCGGACATTAGTTGGATCGGAGGGGTACAGTTGTTTCTCTATCTCGGCTGCGGGGCGCTAGGGGGCAAAATGTAAGCTGACTTGCTCGTCTGTATGCACTCACTTAACCTGCCTTGAGGTACGACTCAGGCTTTCGGCGGTTGACGTTCGTTTGTGGGTCACTGGTTCACGTCGTGAGGTACTCGGTGCACATTGTTCTCGTGGCCTTTGACTCACTTTTCGCCGATCCAGCTTCTTCATGCTGTCGTTGGCAAAGAGGGACCGCTACTACCAAGTAAACATTGCGCATGCTCAAAAGTCGGTATTCATATTTGAACAGGTTATGCTGAGTCAAGGCATCGGAATTGGCCTCGGTGCTGCTCTCGTCTACGTGCCAACCTTTACGGTCGTTGTTCCTCATTTCAAAGCGCATCGTGCATTGGTGATGGTGGGGCCCCATTTCCATTGTTCGTCTTTTGCTGTAGCTTTTTCTAGGGTATCCTTTCTACCAGCACTCCTCTCGCCACCATAGTTTTTACTAGTATGCTTGAATTATCACCTGATTTGTGTGTTCTGACGAAGCTTGTAGTTTTGTTCAACGAAATGATTTTTCACGGACCAGGGTTTGCCTGGGCAGTTCGTACAGGCGCTTTTCTCTGCTCTGCGGGCTTCGTACTGGGGCAGCTTATGATCAGCTTTGTGGTGCCGCAATCAACGGATTTAACATCTCAAAAACCCGAAGACTCGACACTCTCCCATAGCTTGCGTGCATCATCATATTTGCTCACCCTTCTCGCCGGATTCTCAGCGCAACTCGGGACGCTCTTTCCCACATTTTACCTGCAAACCTTTGCCCAGGCGCACGGGTTTTCAAAGGCGCTTGTTCTTTACATCCCAGTCATCATGAACGCGGCTACAATTTTTGGAAGGATCATTCCTAATTTAGCTGCGGACAAATGGGGTCCCGTGGAAGTGTACATCCCGTGTCTAGCGGCGAATGGTAGGTGGATCGTGCAAGCACTCGAGGCGTTGTCTCATCTCTGTCTACTAGGTGTCGTGGCCTTTGGCATGTTGGGAGCCCAGAATACTGCGGGTCTCGTCTGCTTTGCGATCTTGTCAGTCCGACGATTCCTTCGTGAAGGTGCTGGTGCTGATGGTTTCCCGTAGCTTCGGCTTCTTCTTTGGATCGAGTAAGTCAAGCAAACTATGACATGAGACCCCTGTCCTGATGAAGTAGGTATATCACTCTACTTTCCTGTTGTTGCAGCTCTCGTTCCCAAAGAGGGACAGATGGGGTGCGTCTATATGGGCTTTCTTTGGAGCGAAGCTCACTCGAAACCAACAGTCGGATGCTTGGCTATGCTCTCCTTCCTGTTGGTGTCTCCTCACTTGTCGGTCCACCGATCGCGGGCAAGATCATCGGCCCGTCGACATCCATGCATTGGTGGAAGGGCATCATATTTTCAGCGGCAAGTCGCGATCGTTTGACAGACCAGCCACTAACATGTCCTGATTGTAGATCACGCTGCTCGCCAGCTCCATGATTCTAGTCGTCGCACGTATGGTTCACAAGCACAGATACAAGTGATAGCAGTCGTCGTTCTTGGCAATAGAAGCTTTTTTCCAATTCTCATCAGCACTAGTATGCGAGTTGGGAGGATTTGTCCAAGACGGGTGTTCAGTGCTAATTGGCCGGGAGTCGCTTCCAAGATCGCGCTGTGTGGTTGACCGTTACTCCGATCGGAAGATTCGATCGGGATGGGAGCAAGATGATTCCGAAGGCGGATCGGAGGAAGTAGCGTGCGGGAAGTTTCTTGAGATTATCATTGACAAGGTTGCAGGAGTGAGGTCAAATGCACACCCCACCGCTCCTTGTTGATGAATGTGATTCAGCGAGACACAGCTGGAATAATGGCCATCCATCTAAGAAGGTGTCTTTGAATGGGAGTCGTTGGAGACAGCCGGCTCTCTGGGTGAGCGCTGGGTGCCAAAGTTCGGATCAATCCAAGACTGTCGTTTGTTTATAAGGGAGTGTGTCCAACGAACATTCGATTCAAAGTAGTATACTACGATGTCGACACTTGAGCCTATTGCGATTGTATGTCTCCCCCGTACCAATACTCAATTACTTGTGACTTATTACTTGTTCTCGAGGTTGGAATCTCTGTCGAGTTTCCGAGTGGCCAACACAGTACCTCAAACCTCGATCATGAAGCATTCTTCCAGTTCTTGTTGGACAAAAAAGAGTCTTATGAGAAGTTCCCTACAACTCGGTTCAAAGAAGAAATGTAAGACTCAAGTGCCATAAATCTGGGCCGTACTTCTAAGCACGTTGAACCAGCCACAAAGGCCCAAATCTAGGAGAAGTCATCACCGATGTAGGATCCTTTCTGAAGGATATCGCGGATTTCGACTATGTTGAATTTGGGATCACAGCAAAGGACGCAAAGGCAATGGCCGTCTCGACGCGCAAGCTGATCGAAACTACATTCTTGGCTTTACTGGACTCGGGCATTGACTATCGCAACCGCAATGTAGGATGCTATATGGCGGCGGTGGCATTCGATACAACAACCATCGGACATGCAGTAAAGAGGTTTTGTGCAATCGGTCTTCACAAACTGATTTTTGGAATATTAGGATGAACTTGAACCACGAGGCACATTTGCTGGCTATCCATACATGGTTGCCAACAAGATTTCATACCACCTTGATCTTCTTGGCCCCTCTATCCCACTAGACACAGCATGCAGCTCGACGATGACAGCCGTACATCTAGCAGTTCAGGCATTAAGATCAGGAGACTGTGAAGCTGCAGTAGTTGGGGGCTGTCAATTAAACCATCGGTATTTAAATCTTCTATTGAATAATGATCCTGACTGATAGTTTATATAGTTATCTCGACTTTATTCAGTATAGTCAAGGCTCAATTTTAGCACCTGATGGAAAATGCAAACCATTTGATGTTTCTGCAAATGGGTAAACACTTGCCCTCAACCTGTATCAGATTCTAATTAAATTATATAGATTTTCTCGCAGTGAAGGAGTTGGTGTAATTGTTCTCAAACCTTTATCCAGGGCATTAAAGGAGGGAGATCATATTTATGCATCAGTATGAGTTTAACTCTGCATCTCTCTCTCTTGCAGATACTGATATTATATAAGATCTTGGGTACAGGTATCAACAATTCTGGAAGTGAAGCACCAGTCTATGCACCTGTAGCATCAGCTCAAATTGATGCTATGAGAAGGGCATATAAGGACACAGGACGGAATCCTACTGAAGTTGATTATGTAGAGTTACATGCAACAGGTATTTGTTCTAATTTACGGTTTTTAAATCATTTGATAAATATAATTTATTAGGCACAGCAGCAGGAGATCCAATAGAAGCAAATTGGGTTGGCTCTATATTTGGACGGAATAATGAACTAGTGGTTGGTAGTGTAAAAGGCAGCATTGGGTAAGATAAAGTCTATTTAAATTGTTAGTTAAAGTTACTTATCTAAAGTATAGCCACCTGGAAATTGCTTCATTTATTGCTTCACTTTCTAAAGTCTGTTCAATGTTCCAGACCTATATCATCCCTCCAAATGTGAATCTATCTACACCCAATCCAGCAATCAAGTGGCAGGAATATCAGATGTTTGCACCAACTGAATCTATGCCCTTGAAAATACAGCATATATCTAACCAGGGACTGATATCCATTGCTAGCTCAGGCATTGGTGGTTCAAATGGCCATGCTCTCTTGGAAGGTCCTCCAGTTTTAGATGCATCTATTCCTTTACAGAGAGATAGACCAATTCTTCTAGCTAGTGGTGGTCTCTCTCCTCGTACTGCTGAGTTTAACAAAGATCTCATAATCAAACTCCTTTATGAGTATCCCAAATTATCTGCAACAATTTGTACAACTTTTGCCAGACAAACACGACAAATGACATGGCGATCAGTTTCAATATTCTCACCTGCCAATACTGCACAGAAACCTGTGTTTCCTCCACCTCGCCTTGTTTCTAGAGCCAGACCACCACTTGTATTTGTTTTTTCAGGCCAAGGACCACAGCATTTTGAAAGTATATCTTTTCTTGATAGTGAAAAAGAGTATTACTAAACTAAATTATCCAGTGGGCCGACAGCTTTATCAACAATATGATGTGTTTCAACATACAATTCAATATCTGGACAAGATCTATGAGACAGTAACTGGAGTGTCTCTTATCCTTACTACAGGGATTTTTGAACATACCTCAGCTATTTCATTATTGCCTGAAATTTGGCCAAGCAGTATTACCCTTCCATCACTATGCATGCTTCAGCTTGCATTTATTGATCTTCTGTCTTCTATTGGCATTGTTCCAGATGCTGTTATAGGGCATTCTGCAGGAGAATCAGCAATGGTTTATGCTAGTGGTGCTATTTCTCTAGAGATGGCATTCCGCTTATCTATTGCCCGTGGATTTGCATTGCTAGAAACAGAGAAAGGTGCAATGGTTGCTTTATCATGCAGCTCATCTATTGCTTCTAGTATTATACAAAAAGCACTGGAACAACATCCAAATAATGTAGCTGAAATCAGCTGCTATAATTCCTTAGATTCTATCACCATTTCTGGAACCCCTACTATTGTTCAGACCATTGCATTGTTGGCAGAGAACCAAGGAATCCTTGCTCGCATCCTTCGTACACATCTTGCAGCTCACTCAAGTCTGATTGATTCATGCAAGTCTAATTACCAACAGAAGTTGCAGGAAATATTTGAAGTATATCCAGGTCTACACCAGCCAGCAGTTCCAATATACTCAACATTGACTGGCAAGCATCTTACTGGATCATTTACTTCTGATTATTTCTGGCAAAATACAAGAAATCCTGTTCTGTTTGCTGATGCTGTCTCTGCTATTCACCATGATATTCCATATGCAGTATATCTTGAGATTGGCCCACACCCAGTACTTAGCAGCTATATCTCAGCTCTTACTGCTAAAGATAACTGTGTCATCCCCTTTATGAGGAGAACCAAGAGCAAAGAAGCCTATCATGAAGTTTATACCTTTCTTGGAGCAATTGGAGAGCTTATTATATCAGGAATCAACAACTTAGATTTTCATGCTTTGAATTCAACATCTCCAAGCAGGAAAAAAATTCCTCTTCCATCTTATCCATTTCTCAAGAAATCAATATCATATTATCCAGAACCTAGAACTTTGATTTCCAATCTTGGAAAAAGTGTTGGCTTCCTAAATAAAGCAAACTTCAGAATCAATGCTCTTAGCCATCCATCCCTAGCACAACATGTGATAGCACATGAACCAATCTTCCCTGCTGCAGGCTATCTAGAGATTGTAAGATGAATTAATCCTTTTGAACCTATAACTCAACTGATTTTAGGCATTTGAATTTGGAAAATCATACCTATGGAATGTGGAATTTGTCAATATGATGCCATTGCTTACAGACAAAACTCTTGAAGTACAAGTTGTACAAAATGGTCTCCAATGGCAAGTTAAATCTTTGTCTCATCTAGCTGATGCCCCTGTAAGTTTATATATTCTATGAAACAAAAAAAAATCGATGAATAATAATTATTTCTTAGCAAACCATTGGATCAAGACTACATAGCCAAGGATATATGTCTGAACACATCCCAGAACAATGTGCAAAAATTGACTTAGATACACTTTATTCCGAGATGAAGCCTTTAGATATGAATGGTACATCTGATTAATACTTATACTTAAGATTACTCATACATACTTTTCTAGCATTTTATCAGCATATGTCTTATTTTGCTCAGTTTGGAACTATGTTTCAACGAGTAATAGGATGCTCAATATCAGAATCAGAGGCGTTATGTCGTATCCAGGCTATGAGTGATGATCTCACAGAGTATGTTTAATATTATAAATAAATTGCTCAATCTAACTATCCTAAAGCAGCAAAACTTATCACTTTCATCCAATTTTGCTAGATGCTTGTATTCACTCAATTGTCCATCCTGCACTTACTCGGAATCAAGATACAACAGTATATTATCTTCCCTCTAAGGTGCAGAGTGTTGCATTATACAGGTCATTCTTAGGGAAACAACTGCCTTCAACGCTGTATAGTTATGCAAAATTATGTGAATGGACACCTAGTATGTTCTTGTTTTTTTTAAGGGGTATACAACTTATCTCCTTTTCTAAATAGCCTCTATGTCATGGGATATCAAGATTACAGATGAACAAGGCATAGTCCTTTGTTATTTAGCTGCGCTTCAAATTCAGCAACATGAAACTGGTGAACATATCCCATACCAGGGTCATTTTACTCTTATTCGTCAACCTCTGTCAAATCAGCAATCAATATCAATATCTCAAATGCAAAACACTGTAGATATAACAAAGGTATAGGTTTACATTATAAATATATAGTTATTAATCCTGACCTTTTCATTATATAGAATTTATTATTGGTTCCTGACCTCTATCAATTTGACAATGTATCAAGTTACTCTGTCATCGACTTGTAGCTATGGCTATACATAAAAAGTTAGTCCATATCTTGATTTACTGTTCAGGTATGTTTAATATTTGATCTTTTATCTATAATCTGAAATATTAACTCTAGATTCATCAATTTATTCAAGTCTATTTTCTCATATACAGGGACTAGATCTGAATATCTCTATTGATTATACACTAGGGTTTACTGATTTAGAGAATAACAGTCATTCTCTTACAGCAACTCTTAGTCCATTTCATAAGCTTAACTTAGACTCTCATGAATCTTCTATATATACACAGCTCAGTTTTGATCTTGCTCTACTATTAGAGCTTCCAACTCAATTATCATCAAGATCAATTCTTTATCAGGCAAACAAACTGCTGGTATCTGGAGGGTCTCTGATTATCAGCAGCATATCAAAAGGTTAACCCTTTTCTGTTGTCAGTTTATATTTTATTTACCAGATGTTGTAGAATCCTTATCAGAGATTGTATCTCATCAGTCATTCTCAACTATTAATTGGTACCAAGACCATAAACAACTTTGGTATCTAGAAGCTCAGGTAGCTAAGATACCAACATTTGGTCCTTTGAACCAGATAGCAACCTTGGCAATATCTCATCTGCACATCATTCACTTTGATCCTCATCAGATTATTCAATATCGTGATATGATCTTAGATCTGGAGCAACAATCTAATTGCATTCTATGGATCAGTGCTACTGATGATTCAAAGAATGGCACATCTCTTGGCTTTTCAAGATCACTTAGAAGAGAGCTTACTGCTACAAAAGTTTATCTAGTGCTTTTTGATTCCATCTATGATTTAAACTCTAGGATGATAGTTCTTGAAAGGATTTCAAAGCTTGACAATATAGAGCAGGAAATCTATATCAATAATGTGGGAGAGATATATGTTCCACGTATAGTTCCCTCTCCACCTAGGAGCAGAGCTATACACTTTGATATTCAAAAGCCTTGGACTTTACATAGCACTAAGCTAGTTTGTACAGATAGCTTCCCCTCAACTCCTCCTAATTATGTTCTTGTTGAAGTGGAATATCTGTCTTTTGCAGCTATGGGATTTTGTGGTATTTCTGGAAGAGTTTCTCAATCTGCCTCAACTCTCTGGTCAGAGGGAATTTGGATACTAGGTGTTATTGAAGAACAGACATGCAACCTTGTGTTGATTCATGAAAGTCAAATAGTAGAATGTTCCCAAGGCCAAGCACAATTGCTTACTACATTTGCACTTCCATTATTGGCACTTGGGATACTTGTTGGAAATAGAGCACTTTATCATTCTGCAAGATTACATGGTCAACAAATCCTGATTACAAATGCTGATACTCCAATGGGCTCTTGCATTGCTGATCTAGGAGCATTGTTATCAATGAATGTTATCCAGACTTCTCAGCCTTCAGCCAAGATACCTCTATCTACTATTAGCTCCAGTAACTTCATTTTCTCTGGTTTCTTGGATAATACAGATATCCAATGTATACAGAGTAAAATACACCCCTCAGCTCATGTTCTTTGGTGGACTTTCTCACAATCAGAATACTTAAAGCAGAACCCATGGATTATCAATGATATTTTCAGCTCTTTTGATTTGCAATCTTTGTCCAAATTCTTCATAAAAGATAGCTCATGGTCTCAATCACCTAGTGATGTTCTTACCATTAAACATTCTTTATATCAGATTCAGCTATCTATACCACTCTTCAGAGCTGATAGATCATATCTACTTATTGGAGGCATTGGATCATTGGGAGTCCAGATTACTTGGTGGATGTATCAGGTATGTAGATTATCTTATTATATAATTAATGCTCACAGCTGTCAAACTATATAGAATGGTGCTCGAGAGATTATTTTAACATCACGTTCAGGTTATCAGTCACTTGTACGATCAGGAAATGTCCCAGCACTACGTCTTTTAGATTGGCTTCAGAAACTACCTGATCTGAATATTAAA